GCAGCAAAAAACTAATACAACCCTTGGTTGTATAAACAGAGACATAGAATCAAAATCATGTAAAGTATTAATACCACTTTATAAAGCCTTAGTAAGACCACACTTGGAATACTGCGTTCAGTTTTGGTCACCACGTTACAAAAAAGATGTTGAGAATTTGGAAAAAATTCAGAGAAGAGCAACTGAGATGATCAAAGCCCTGGAGACTAAAATATATGAAGAACGGCTGCAGGACTTGGGTCTGGCTAGTCTAAAGAAAAGAAGAAATAGGGGAGACATGATAGCAGTGTTCCAGGATCTGAGGGGCTGCTAACAAAGAAGAGGGGGCCACGTTATTCTCCAAAGCACCAGAGGGCAGGACAAGAAATGATGGATGGAAACTAATCAAGGAGAGAAGCAACCTGAAATTAAGGAGAAACTTCCTGACAGTTAGAACAATTAACCAGTGGAACAACCTGCCTCCAGAAGAGAGACTGGAGACTGGACAGTCACTTGTCTGAAATGGTATAGGGTCTCCTGCTTGAGCAGGGGGTTGGACTAGAAGACCTCAAAGGTTCCTTCCAGCTCTGTTCTGATTCGTTGATTGACAGTTGTTGGTCAAATGAACTATGATCAGCAGAGTTCCTCAACTGCTCTGGCCTCTCCAATTCTCATCCTCTTCCTCTAGGCACGGGCCAGCCTTTTTGCTGACGTATTCAAAAGTCTTTTTGTTGTGTTTTAGCCTTTCTATCTTGCCGCAGATACCAGCATTATATTCATTGAACCATTTTTTATTTCCTTTTGATTCTTAAGATAGGTTGAAAGCTCTCAGCGCCTCTGTTTGTAATGAAAACTCAATTCCTCTCCACACCACCTTTATTTTTTATAATAATTTTATTAAAAGTTAAAAGAGATAGAAACCATACAAAACTAAGAAGAATAAAACAATAAAAAAGAAAAATGGAAAGTGCAGAAAAAATTAAAAAAACAGATAGTAATAAATGTATTTAAATAGTGAAGAAAAGGAAAGAAAGTATAGAAAGAAATGAATTCCTTTTCTTCACAAAAGGTGTGAACAATTTCAGTAACTTATCACCTTCTCTTATAATACAACGAATTATATCTCTTCTTCCAATATTCCGACTCTTATCCATTAACAAATCCTTAAAAATTCATTGTGCCTTCCTAGTCAGCTAAAGTTCATTAAGAGTTACCAAGGATAACAACATTATCTGACAACATGTTAAAATAGAAGCAATCAACTTTGTATGCCTTTTACTTTTAACAGTAAATTTAATCAAATAATGTCCCAGAACTTGATTTCTTTTCATTTTTTCTTTCTTTCTTCTCACAAAATTATTGAAACACTTAACAAATCTCTTTTCTAAATACAATATAGGAAATTTGTGAGTCTCCTTCAATCCTTTGTGAAGTAAATTTTAATTGCAGGTTTAAGGGCTTTTTAATTTTTTTTTTTAAAAAATAGCAGCAATAGGATGATTAGAACATTGGTTTTAGAAAGTTACAAATGTGTGGATCCAGATGGAGTTTGAAATTAATTATAAGAATCTTTTGAAGGGGAAAACGTTGTTATTTTGAATCGTTAAAAATAAGAGCGTGATAGGAACTTTGAGGGTTGGGCTCTAGAGGAAATGAAAAAGAATTAAAACTTACAATTAAAGAAAAACGCTTAAATTTGACTTACTAATACAGAATGGAGCAAAATACTTTAATGTTGGATATATTGATGGATATTTGTAAACAATGGACCCAGAAGATAATTTTAAGATAATTTTGTCTCCTATTAAACGTAGACTATATTTAAAAGATGTTTTAAATCTAAACTTTTAAACTTTTAAAGGTGTTTAAAGAGGTTTTAACTTAGTGGATAAGGGAAACACTGTGGAGATAGTTTACTTAAACTTCAGTAACAAAGAAGACCACAGCCCACTTCTTGATAAGATAGAAAAATGCAGGATAGACAGCATCAGATGGATTCCTAATTGGCTGACTAACCGCACTCAACATGTAGTCCTCAATGGAACTACACTGACATGGAGAAAAGCATGCAGTGGGGTACCCCACGGTTCTGTCTTTGCCCCAGTACTTTTCAACATCTTCATAAATGATCTGGATGAGAGGATAGAAGAGGCACTCATCAAATTTGCAGACGACACCAAGCTGGGTGGAATAGCCAACACTGTTGAAGTTGTGGGTGCTTCATCACTGGAAGTTTTCAATATACTGGACAGCCATTTGTCTGGGATGGCATAGGTTGTCCTATTCAAGCTGGGGGCTGGACTAGAAGACCTCTGAGATACCTTGCACTCCTACAATTCTAAGTTCCTTAAGCCAAAGACTCTTTGCATGATTGGAAATGTTTCTCTCCATCTGGGCTCAGCTGGTATTGAGAGGTAAATTGCCAACTGACTCTCCTTCTGTCTTAATTGTTGAGATCTGCTCTCCCTTCCATTCCTTTCCTGGCCTCCCACCCCATCTCTCCCCACTCCTGTTGGGAAGCCACGTGTGGAAGTACCGGTACATAAATCAGTGGGCCTCAGCTGTGGATGTGGCTAAAAGAAAAGTGCTTTGGTGGTGATACACTACAGATATGGTTAGTGGAGCTGCTTCAGGAGAAAATTGGGGGGAACCGGTGGAAGTACCCCAAAGTCTCAAAATATGGTTAGATAATTTGCAGCTCACCTAGTATTGCAGGAACCAGACATTGCGTAGGTAGGGTTGTGGGCCAGAATATGGTTTGTTTGGATACAGGAGGAGTTGTAGTTGTTAGCCTTGGCTTAAGCTCTCCAGCCAAAGTCTAGTGTTGGAAGTTGTACTGGTATTTTCCTGTTAACTGATATGGACTTTCCCCCCCCCCCCCCATCTTCCCCTTCCCTCCTCCCCCTCTCCTCCCCCTCCTCTTAGTTTTAATCTTTTGGTTCATCGCACTGTCAGCCAGATGTTCAGACTGATTTGACATTTTTTTCTACTTATCAAGTCCTTTCCAAGGATCTGGGATAGGCAGATCTGGATGTTCGATGGTGTTTCAGATACCGTCGCAGGATGAAAACTGTTCTGAGTAAAGCCGCCTTTTGCAATTGACTGATGGTGAATTTGTCAATGCCGATGGTGTTCCAAGTGGTGCTCCAACTGTTTTGGAATCGCACCCAAGGCACCTATTACGATTGGTACTACCTTTGATTCTTTATTCTTATCCTTATCCTTGTCCTTGTCCCTGTCAGAATGAACAAGATGCAATGCAGGTAGTCTTCAGTTTACAAGCACAATTGGGATCAGAAGTCCATTGCTAAGCCAGGTGGTTGTTAAATGACCTTTTTGTGACAGTTGTTAAATGAATCACAGTGGCATCCCTTCCGTGAATTTTGCTTGTCAGAATCCCAAACAGCAATCACACGAACCCAGGATGCTGCGTCAGTCATAAATACAGTACAGTATACAGTATTGTTGCCAAGAGCTGAATTTTGATCGTGTGGCTATGAGGATACTGCCCAAGTTGTAAGTAGGAGGATTGGATATAAGTTATGTTCTTCAGTGCCCTTGTAACTTTGAACATTCACTAAACGAATGGTGGCAAGTTGAAGATTACCTGCCGCGTTTTGATGTCTATTTGAACACACGCTTACCATAGATGCAAGATTAGCATTACAACGTTGCATTCGCCAATTTGACACACACCCTCTGCCAAAAAAGCAGGTGTGTTGGGCACAGTGCACAAACAGCTCTTTCAGAGAAGAGCAACAAAGACAATGAGGTCTGGAGACTAAACTGTAGGATGAATGGCTAAGGGAACTCAGTATGTGTCAGAGCGTGCACAGTCATTGCGCTGAGATAATCCAGGAGTAAACACAGTAAACAGTGGTTTGTATTAAAAGGTGGTTTATCTTGCACTATCTACAATATCATACACCAGGAACAATATACATACATGTTCTAATACAGCAGGACCCAACAAACTACAATTACAGCAGGAAACGGAAGAGAGAGAACACATCAGCAGAGCCTTCCCTTTATACAAAGGCTCTTAAAGAGACACAAACCCTGCTGAGTCATTCCCATCATTACATTACACCTTCCATCTTACATTACATAAACTAGTCAGCTGTTAAATCAATACCTTGACAGTATGTCTAGTCTAACGGATTAGGGATGATATGATAGTTGTCTTCCGGTGCTTGAGGGGCTATTGCAGAGAAGAGGTGGGTCAACCTATCCTCCAAAGCACCAAGAAGCAATGGGTGGAAGCTCAGCAGAGGGAGATTCATCCTGGATATAAGGAAGAACAGCTTGTCCCCAAGAGTTGTGAGTGCTCCATTGCTGTAGGTTTTCATGAAAAGATTGGACAACCATTTATCTGGGATGGTATAAGGACCCCTGCCTTGGACATGGGGCTGGATTAGAAGACCTCCAAGGTCCCTTCCTGCCTTAGGGTTCTATGATTCCTTACTCCTCACCCAGCTTGGTGAGATAGCCAACAGGGGAACCTGCTGACCACTAGAAGGCCAGGAAGATGCCCCTCCCTTCCCAATGATGCTGGACATTGCAGTCCTCTCATAAAGTTATGTCTGCAAGTGTGCAGATAACTGTATCATCTGAATAAGGAGCAAATAGATGCACCGTTGGCTCTCTTTCCATGATGAAACAATTCACAAATGGAGGGTAGAGCAATCTGGCGTGTTGACCGTTAGCTACTTTGCACACCTACTGTGATTCTGTGCGCATGTGTGTATGTTGTACTGGATGTGTACTTCAATAGGACCGTGAAACTCCCGCTTTTTGAACAGGTGCAGCCAGACTCGGCTCGTTTCCTTAACGTCGCATCAAAGAGCTGCCCAGATTTGCCTTGTGGTGAGATGGGTGGCCAACAAATTCAATAAGTAAAAGAAATGCAAATATTCTGAGTTGGAGGGAACCCTTGGGCAATCCGCCTTAAAGTGCGCGACATTCCCAGCACAGAGAAGTTAACCAGCATCTACTAAAGTTGATCGTTTTTAAATCTGCAGGACCGAAACACTTGCGCGTAGGCGTTTTAAAAGGCTTGACTGAGGACCTGTCTGCGCCCCTGACCCTGATTTTTAATAAATCTTGGAGTACTGAGGATGTTCCTGAGGACTGGATAACAGCTGAACCCACTATAGCAGTGTTTAAAAAAAGTAGACGGAATGAGCGCGGTAAATATTAAGTCCATCCTGGCTGGAAACAATGAATGGAGGGAATGAAGTGTCCATCACCAGAGAATGATAAGATCTGAGATGGATAATTAGGGCTGCCCGTTGATTTCAAAAAATTCATATTAATTAAAACTTTAATTGATAATCAATTGCTTGATTAAAGCCTAATTTTGTGTATTTGCTATAATCCGGCAGCATCAATGCTTCCAACAGTGGGGCTTCGTTCAAACTCTGCAAATGTATAAAATAAGTCATTGTTTTGAAGGAAAAGTCACGGGTCCATTTTTCTCAATCCATTTTTCTCAATTTGGCCTCATTCCTTAATCCAGGGGTGGGCAACTAGTGCCCCTTTACGACCTGTGGACTTCAATTCCCAGAATGGCTGGCTCAGAAAGTTGAAGTTCACAGGTAGAAAAGGGGCCGTAGGATGCTGATATGTGAATTAACACTGCTAAATCAAGACTCTTGAGTCTCTTTATGAGTAGTCCTCAACTTACAACAGTTCACTTAATGACTATTCAAAGTTACAACGGCACTGAAAAAAAGTAACTTATGACCGCTTTTCACAGCTATGACCATTGCAGCCTCCCCGTGATCATGTGACCAACATTCAGATGCTTGGCAATTGACTCATACTTATGACGGTTGCAGTGTCCCCGGGGAATCACGTGGTCCCCTTTTGCGGCTTTGTGACAAGCCAAGTCAACGGGGAAGCCAGATTCACTTAACACTTGTGCTGCTAACTTAACAACTGCAGGGATCCACTTAGCAACTGTGGCAAGAAAAGTCGTAAAAGGGGGCAAAACTCACTTAACAGCCGTCTTGCTTAGCAACAGAATTTTGGGGCTCAGCTGCGGCCCTAAGAGGCAAGCCCTCTTAATGTGCCGGCACATTTCTCAGAGAAAACTCTGGAGTTTTTGCAGGGTCTGTATGTTAAAAAAAAAAAAATCAAGATGGTCTCCCAAGCCACGCAATCAAGTCCTTGCCCCTTTTGGGCACATCGTCTAAAACAGTGATGGCGAACCTTTTAGAGATCGAGTGCCCCAAAACCACCCCGGTCTGCCCCTGCCCCATCTGCTCCGCCCCCAGCCTGCCCGGCCCTGCCCACCCCACCTCGCGGGGCCACCTGCTGCCTCCATGACCTGCCGCCCGTGCCCTGCCGCCCGCACCCTGCAGCATCATCTGCACGTGATGGCACGAGGGCGGAGTCTTGTCCCTGCTGCCCCGTTGCCATGTGCTTGGCTGCGCTGCTCTGTGCAGGCTGCGCCTGTGGGCGAATCTCTTCCGGGGGGCTGCTGGGGGGGGAAGGTGAGGCCGGGGCGATGGCGTGCGTGCCCACAGAGAGGGCTCTGAGTGCCACCTCTGGCATGCGTGCCATAGGTTCGCCACCACTGGTCTAAAACATCCATCACCAACACTTGGACCATCTTGCTTTTTTAGAAACACCCCCCCCCCCCAAGCTTCTCCCATGACTTCTGGGCTGGTTCCCTGCTTGGGGCTTTTTCAGGCAAGGTGAATCTAATTTCTTTCCTAGCATTTGACCTCCACTGACTGTTTGACCGCTGTGATCTGGGCTCCTGGCTGTTTGGGAGCAACCCCTTGCCTGCTTCTGAAGCTTTCCTATACTTTCCTTCCTGGGGAGGGGAGTCGGGCTCCCCAGCAGGATGCAAATGGCTTCCCGTGAGTCAACAGGGTTCCCGTCATTAAGAGCAGCCACGGGGCACAAGTGGCGGTGAAGGCAGAAGCCACGTTGCCCGCCTCGGGGGCAGACACGTTGTGACACAGGGACTCTTCCCCTTCCAGGTTTTCTACACCAGTGGTTCCCAACCTGTGGTCCGTGGACCCTGGGAGGCCACGATGTTGCCACAGAAGTGTTATGATTGAAATCTTAACTCTTGGGGGGTCCGTGGCCATAAGAGGTATCTAAAAGGGGTCCGTGGTGAAGAAAAGGTTGAGAACCACTCTTCTACACCACGAAGGCCCCTCATTCCAGAGTGAATTTGGGGCCTTTTGCCATCACAAAAACACACACGGAGGCAGAAGCGCTCAGACATAACTTTATGGCCAAACTATAACATCTCCTTAAAATGTTTCAAACGCTCAAAAAGAATCGTGCTTTGGCATCTGGTACTTTGCGGTTTATTTAGACCTGCACATTTAGGGAATTGTTTTGTCAGGCTAAGTTGCACATTTCTAAAGATCCTTCAGACGAGTTAAATAAAGAACTAAAAAAAAAAAAAAAAGGAAGGAAGGAAGCCGGTGTTGATGGGGGCTGGGGCCCAGTGGTGAACACATCAGCACACAGTTGCCCAGCCAACTTGCCCAAGGTGGAGAAACACGGCCTTAAATGTGGCTTAATACAGATAGTCCTCAACTTGCAACCACAGTGGAGCGCAAAATTCTGTTGAGATATTTGCTGAGTGAGTTTCGCCCCATTTTACGACTTTCCTTGCCACATTTGTTAAGTTGGTAACGTGGTTGTTAAGTGAATCCAGTTTCCCCGTTGATTTTGCTTGTCAAAAGGTCGCAATAGGGGATCACATGACCCCGGGACACTGCAACCGTCATAAGTATGAATCAGTTGCCAAGCATCTGAATTGTGACCGTGGGGATGCTACAAAGGTCGTAACTGTGAAAAACGGTCATAAGTCACTTCTTTTCAGTGCCGTTGCAACTTTGAAGGGTCACTAAATGAAGCGTTGTTAGCTCGAGGACTCCCTGTATAGCGTGTATCACATAAGCTGCTAAGGCCAAAGAAATAAAGACGATAAAGCAGCGTTTCCTCAACGTTGGCAAGTTGAAGCTGTGTGGACTTCAACTCCCAGAATTCCCCAACCAGCAAAGAATTCTGGGAACTGAAGCTCACACATCTTCAACATGCCAAGGTTGAGAAACACTGTGACAGAGCATTCCCACAACCTGCCAAGTTGGGTTGGCCACAACTCGGAACCAGAAAATTTTCACCCCGCAACCAGCTGGATCTCAAATGGATACCAGCCAGTGAGAAGTGACCCTCTAGGTAGGCAAGTTGGCTCCAAAGGGGCGATTCCTCTAGCTGGCTGCCCTCCATTTGGGATGGGGAAGAAATGCTGCTGCTCAGATACTGATCCTCGGCTGGCTTGATGCGATCTGGACTCCGGGCCCAGCGTGTCTCTTTAAGGAGAGGAAGGTTGTGTCTGCTGGGCCGGTCAGGAGATCCATGGCAGCATGAGACGAGTCTAGAGAAAAGAAGAAACAGGGGAGACAGGATAGCAGCGTTCCAGTATCTGAGGGGCTGCCACAAAGAAGAGGGAAGGACAAGAAATGATGGATGGAAACTAATCAAGGAGAGAAGCAACCTGGAGAAACTTCCTGACAGTGAGGACAATTAACCAGTGGAACAGCTTGCCTCCAGATATTGTGGGCACTCCATCACTGGAGATTTTTAAGAAGAGGCTAGACAATCACCTGTCTGAAATGGTATAGGGTCCCCTGCTTGAGGAGGGGGCTGGACTAGAAGACCTCCAAGATCCCTTCCAGCTCCTATTCTATTCTATTCTATTCTATTCTATTCTATTCTATTCTATTCTATTCTATTCCATATCCTATCCTATCCTATCCTATCCTATCCTATCCTATCCTATCCTATTCTATTCTATTCTATTCTATTCCATTCCATATTCTATTCTATTCTATTCTATTCTATTCTATTCTATTCTATTCTATTCTATTCTATTATTCTATTCTATTCTACTCCATATTCTATTCTATTCTATTCTATTCTATTCTATTCTATTCTATTCTATTCTATTCTATTCTATTCTATTCTATTCCATTCCATTCCATATTCTATTCTATTCTATTCTACTCCATATTCTATTCTATTCTATTCTATTCTATTCTATTCTATTCTATTCTATTCTATTCTATTCTATTCTATTCTATTCTATTCTACTGGATTCATAACAGGAGATCCTAGAAGTAATCCTCTGGTGAGAGATCAGGATCTAGGCTTGGGCAGGAACAGAAAACAATTTAAAAAGGCTGCTGAGAATAAATGGAAGTGATTATGTTCGTGCCGGTGCTCATGTTTGACTGCTAGATCTCTTACCCAGTTCATTACTCTTCAGGCTTTCCGATGCAATCTTAAGGGCTAGGAACTTTAAAAACTTTCTAAATTCTCAGTATTTTCCATAAAGCTAGAGCTGATTTTTGCTCTCTTGCTTTCTGTGGGGTTTTTTTTTTTTTAACTCTTCAGTTTTTCAGCCTAGATGCCACCCTGGGAATTCCTGGCAGCCTCCACTCCAACTACTAACCAGCTTTAGACATTAAACAACATCTCCAGGATGTTGCCCTAACAACCGAACCGAAGGCATCTCTGACGTGATGGCATCTGTGACAAAGCTATGGATGCTGACAGCGTGCACGTGATCCTGCGTGTGTTTGTGTCCATCGGGACAGCTGTTGAATTCTTGCCCATTTCGCACAGTTTCCAAATACTGCTAGTCCTCAAACTTACAGCCATTCATTTAGTGACAGTTCAAAGTTACGACAGCGCAGCAGCACTGAAAAAAGTGACTTCTGACTGGTTTTCACGCTTACGACCGTTGCAACGTCTCTACAGTCACCTGATCAGAGCTTGGACCCTTGGCAACTGGCCTGTATTTAGACGGTCGCAGAGTCCTCAGGTCACATGATCCCCATTGGCAACCTTCCCAGTCGGCTTCCGACACGCAAAGTCAGTAGGGGGGGGGAGTCAGATTCACTTAACAACTGCAGTGATTCACTTAATAACTGTGGCAAGAAAGGTCGTAAAATTGGGCAAAACTCAATTTACAACTGCATTGCTGTGCCATGGAATTGTGGGGCTCAATTATGGTGATAAGTCGAGGATGGCCTAGGTTAGGGGTAGGCGACCTTGGCTCTTTTAGGACTGGTGGACTTCAACTCCCAGAATCCCTGAGCCAGCATGGCTCAGCTTGGAAACCTCTCCCTTTCCCCTCAGCATGCTGCTGGCTCAGGAATTCTGGGAGTTGAAGTCCAAGAGTCATAAAAGAGCCAAAGTTTTCCCCATGCTGGCTCAGGAATTCTGGGAGTTGAAGTCCACGAGTCATGAAGGGGCCATAGTTCCCCCATGCTGGCTCAGGAATTCTGGGAGTTGAAGTCCACGAGTCATAAAATAGCCAAGGTTGCCTACCCCTGGCCTATGTTCTGCTGAAGGTGGCTGGAACTCTTCCGAAGAACTGCTTGAACCCAGGGCATTAGAGATGCTTCTCTGTTTGTGAAAGGTTATACCACTTTACAAGGCCTTGGTAAGGCCACACTTGGAATACTGCATCCAGTTTTGGTCACTGTTGTGTTTTCGGTTCGCAAGCAATTGACGAAGACGCATGGTGGAAACAATAGCTCTTTATTTCTCTCTCCAACTCCAAGTAAACAGCAAAAGGCACGCAGGCCTTTTATAGTGCCTGAAACCCGGACAGTGCTAACCAATAGGAACTCAGCGTTTTCGCGCCTTGCGCATGTGCGCAAGGCTGGCGCTGTTCTGTCTGATCCCGGGCAGCTTTTGGAATGCAACCTTCTGAGCCTGCTTCTGCAGGCTCAGGACACAACAGTCACCATGATGTAAAAAAGATGTTGAGACTCTAGAAAGAGTGAAGAGAAGAGCAACAAAGATGATTGGGGGGACTGGAGGCTAAAACATATAAGGAACGGTTGCAGGAACTGGGCATGGCTAGTCTAGTGAAGAGAAGGACGAGGGGGGACAGGATAGCAGTCTTCCAATATCTCAGGGGCTGCCCCAAAGAAGAGGGAGTCAAGCTATTCTCCAAAGAAGCTGAAGGCAGGACAAGAAGCAACGGATGGAAAGTAGCCAAAGAAGCAACCTAGAATTAAGGAGAAAATTCCTGATCATGAGAACGATAAACCAGTGGAACAACCTGCCTCCAGAAGCGGTGAATGCTCCAACACTGGACGTTTTTAAGAAGAGACCGGACAGCCATTTGTCTGAAATGGTATAGGGTTTCCTGCCTCAGTAGGGGATTGGACCAGAAGACCTCCAAGGTCCCTTCCAACTCTATGATTGTGATTGTGATCATGATTATGGTTATGGTTATGGTTGCTCTCTTTGTTCCTGCAGTGGAAGTGAAGATCGAGGTGGTGCTGCCGGAGAAGGAGCGCATCAAAGAGGAGACGTCGCCCAACGGGAAGGCCAGCCCCATCGTCTACAAGGCCAATGGCACCTCACGACATTACCAGCTGGAGGAGCACCCCGTCACCCTCAACCCCTACCGGAATGTGAAGGACGTGGTGGAGGCCTCCGTTTGCCATGTGAAGGACCTGGACAATGGACAGTCAGTGGGCCCAGTACTTCTTCTTGGCTTTTAAAACTGACCCAGTGTGTCTCAACCTCAGCCACCTGAAGGTGTGTGGACTTCAACTCCCAGAATCCCCCAGCCGGCAAAGCTTCTGGGAGTTGAAGTCCACACATCTTAAAGTGGTTGAGGTTGAGAAACACTGCTTTAATCAAAATGAGGTGGGGGGGAGGCCTTCCCCCTGCAAACTCTGCATGTCCCTCAAAAGATTACTTTGCTCCCCCAAAATGGCGTCTAAAAGACGTTTAGCAAATGGCAACGCTCGTTCTTGTTCTCCCTAGGATGCGAGAAGTCGACCTGGGCTGTGGGAAGGCTCTGCTGGTGAAAGAACATGGAGAGTTTTATGCCATGGGTCATAAGTGTCCTCACTACGGTGCCCCACTGGTGAAAGGTATGTTTTACCCCCACGCCCCAGAGCATGATTTGGGGTTACCTAGAACAGCGGTTCTCAACCTGTGGATCGCGACCCCTTTGGGGGTCAAACGACCCTTTCACAGGGGTCGCCTAAGACCATCGGAAAACACATATTCCCGATGGTCTTAGGAACCGAGACACCGCTCCTCTATCCGTCTCCGCACGGCTTCGAGCTGGGGGCCGTTGCAGCGGCGGATTTGTTTCCGTCGAGCATCTCCTAAGGGAGGCTGCGCGGCTTCACGGCCCTTTCCACGGAGGAGGCTGAACTAAGGTTGTCGCCCTCTTGGCTCTCTCTCTCTCACTCTCCCTCTCCCCGCCTGGGCGCTTCTCCAACCAGGCTGGGCGGAGCTGGCGGAATGGCCTTCCTGCCCCCCCTCCCCAGCCAGCTGGACCCGGCAGGCCGGTGATCTTCGGAAGTGAGGCGAGGACAGGCGAGGCGCGCTGAGCCCCGGGCACGGTGGGTGAGTGGGCGGCATTGGTGCGCGCTTGAAGAGCCCTTAGGGTTGGGGGTCACTACAACATGAGGAACTGTATTAAAGGGTCGCGGCATTAGGAAGGTTGAGAACCACTGACCTAGAAGATGTCTCTGCAGGACTGGCCTGGAAAAGGCTTAGGGAAGTTCTGCAAGGCTCTGAAAATAGTAAACTCTTAATATCAGCTGACAAGGACACTAGAAGATCCTGACATTCTGAGGCTTCGTTTGATCCCATGTTGGTTTGTCTGCTTCTCAGTCACCCCATGTTTTAAATCTTTCCTGTGGTCACTGCAAAAGGACCCTTTTTTCCTCATGGACTAATTCTGTTGTTGCTTTCTTGGGGTCCTTCTTCACAGGGGTCTTGTCCAAAGGCCGAATCCGTTGCCCGTGGCATGGGGCTTGCTTCAACATCAGCACTGGTGATATTGAAGACTTCCCAGGGCTGGATAGTCTCCCCAAATTCCAGGTGAGAATAGAATAGAATTCTTCATTGACCAAATGTGGTTGGACACACAAGAAATTTGTCTCCGGTGCAGAAGCTCTCAGTGTACATACAAGAAATAGTGATAAGTCATGATCATAAACAACATAAAAATACATTCAGAGAACTCTGCGGTTTAACAGTTTAACAGCAGACAACAACAGTCATTTGATGAAAACATCCTGTGATCTTCTTTCAATCCGTGCCGCTGGGAAGATGCAGCAGCCCCCCCCCTCACCCCATTTTGCAGGGCTTCAGACAAATTGCTCCTTCAGTGTATTGACCCGGGTTCCTGGCAGATATCCCAGCAAGTCTCTTTAATCCCTTTAATCCCTAGACCAGTGGTGGCGAACCTGTTTTACAGGTGCCAGAGGCGGCACTCGGAGCCCTCTCTGTGGGCCCACGCACCATTGCCCCAGCCCTGCCTCCCTCCATGACCCCCTCCTTACCGGCAGCCCCCCTGGAGGAAAGTTGCCCTCAAGCGTGGCTCATGCGGAGCAGTGCAGTCGAGGACATGGCAGCCAGGCAGCGTAGACAAGACTCTGCCCTCACGCCCCATCATGCACAGTTGATGCTGCGGGGCGCGGGCAGAGGGCGTGGCTGCCATGGTGCTGCTGGGTGATCTGTGGTGGGCCCTGGAGGCAGTGAGTGGCCCTGCAGGCAGGCGGGGTGGGGGCAGAGCAGGGGCAGGGCAGGGGGTGGAGCAGGGGTGGGGCCAGTTTTTGGGCACTCGGTCTCTAAAAGGTTCGCCATCACTGCCCTAGACCAAAATTTCTCAACTGTAGCCACTTGAAGGTATGTGGACTTCACTTCCCAGAATTCCCCAGGCAGCATAAAGTTCATACGTCATCAAATGTCCAAGATTGAGAAACCCTGAAAAGTCTTACAGATTTGGACTCCCTGGACTGGGGACTATCAAAGACCTTTGAGGGGCTTCCCCTGACACACCTCAGCAGGTGTATTGAGGTTCCAGGGTGAAGTCAAGATGGGCACGAAGGAGGCAGTTTGGGCCCCTCCCCAGCTCTGCCCTGTCAGTCCTCCAGGTCATGGAGAGGAATTATAAAGGAGATGGGACTCTACACAAAACGCATGTACACACACACACACAGCCTCCTTGTCAGCAATCATGGACATAATGAAGCCTTACACAAAGCTCTGTCCGGAATAGCAGCTGATGCTGTCCCACAAATGCCCAACCAACCCTTTGCTCTGAGACCATTTCTTTGGTCTCAGGGTTGGAAGGGAACTTAGAGGTCATGTAGCCAAATCTGGGCAGGATCCCCTGGAGCAGCTGTGACAGATGATGATCTAGCCCAGGGGTAGGCAACCTTGGCTCTTTTAGGACTCGTGGACTTCAAGTCCCAGAATTCCTGAGCCAGCATGGGGAAAACTTTGGCCCCTTCATGACTGGTGGACTTCAACTCCCAGAATTCCTGAGCCAGCATGGCTCCGCGTGGAAACCTCTCCCTTTCCCCTCAGCGTGGCTGGCTCAGGAATTCTGGGAGTTGAAGTCCACGAATCACAAAGCGGCCTAGGCCTAGGCCAGAGGTAGGCAACCTTGGCTCTTTTATGACTCGTGGACTTCAACTCCCAGAATTCCTGAGCCAGCCATGCTGAGGGGAAAGGGAGACGTTTCCAAGCTGAGCCAGGCTGGCTCAGGAATTCTGGGAGTTGAAGTCCACGAGTCATAAAAGAGCCAAGGTTACCTAGACCATTCTTTATGCATGGACTTCAATTCCCTGTATCCTTTGCAATGACCATGCTGGCTGAGGAATTCTGGGAGTCGAAGTCCATCTTAACTAAGGCCGAGAAACACCAGCCTAGAGCAGGGATAGGCAACCTTGGCTCTTTTGTGACTCGTGGACTTCAACTCCCAGAATTCCTGAGCCAGCCATGCTGAGGGGAAAGGGAGAGGTTTCCAAGCTGAGCCATGCTGGCTCAGGAATTCTGGGAGTTGAAGTCCACGAGTCATAAAAGAGCCGAGGTTGTCTACCCCTAATTTCTAGCCCCATTGAAGATTTCCAGGGAAGCCAAAGTCACCCTGTGACCTGGAATCCTTGGGCTGGGAGGGACTTTGGAGGTGATCTGAGCATCCTTCTCTACCATCTGCTGGATACTGTTTTCCCCATAAGACAACTTGCCTTTCAGTGGGGTGGGGTGGGGCAGCTGGTTTAGGATTATAATGATCAAACACTTATTTGAGTGAGAGTGAAAGTTGCATCACAAAACATGATGATGTTTTTTTTCTCGTTCCAGGTGAAAATTGAGAAGGAAAAAGTGTACATCCGAGCAAGCAAACAGGTGAGCTGTAGGGTCCCCCCCCCCACTGGGCCATTTATTCTTCAGGGCAGCTTCCCTTGGGCAGTCAGGAGAATTTGCAGGACCAGGAGGCTGTTGGGGCCCAGGCCTGCACTGGCCACTGTAGTAGAGCCCTTGAGGAGCAGACTGTTCCTCCTTGTGGCACCTTTTCAGGTGAACATCTTTGCTTAAAAGGCCGAGCTTTTGTGAGCTGCATTTCCTGACCCCTGGTGCCTTGGACTAACCTTGATTTGATGGAAAGGGTACTGGTAGACTCCTTCCTATTGACTGTAGAAGTTGGAGCTAGGTTCACACAATCTGCTAATTCTAAACCAAGTTGTACAAATCACAGTTGCTGTGTTGTCGTCATAGCTTGCACTCAGTTCAATTCACAATTTTTGCTGTGTCCAACACCAGTGTGGAATGGCGGGCAGAAAGAACGTTCCCACCTGTCTGGGATTCCCTACATCAGAGGCCTCCAAATTTGGACTTCAACTCCCAGAATTCTCCAGCCAGCATGGGTAGTTTAGGGCGTTGCATGGATTAATCTGCATTTTGTTTCTTCCTGTCCTATTGAACTGGCAGGAAGGGCAGGCTCCGGGTACCTAGAGAGCCTACCCCCCTTTGAATCGTCATCCCCTCTAAGGTTAAACTGGCCCCATCCCTGTTGGCCTTTCGTAAGGCCTCGAACACTGAGCTTTGTGCCTGCCTCAAAAGGCCTTGGAGGAGCCCATCTCCTGGCTGGGCAGGCAGCTGGTTAGTGAATGCCTGGGTGCTCTGCGTTTAATTTTTATTTTTTCATTTGTGTATTTTAATTATTTGATTACAAGCCACCTACAGTCTCACAAAAGGGACCTGGGTAGCCATATAAATCAACTAACTAACTGAATGAATGAATATAAATGAATGAATGAATGAATGAATGAATGAATGAATGAATGAATGAATGGATGGATGGATGGATGGATGGATGAATATGAATGAATGGATGGATGGATGAATATAAATAAATGAATGGATGGATGGATGGATGGGTGGATGGACAGACGAATGAATGAATGAATGTATATAAATGTATGGATGAATGAATGAATATAAATGAATGGATGAATGAATGGATGGATGAATACAAATAAATGAATGGATGGATGAATGAACGAATGAATATAAATGAATGAATGAATGAATATAAATGAATGGATGAATGGATGGATGGATGAATGAATATAAATGAATGGATGAATGGATGGATGGATGAATGAATATAAATGAATGGATGAATGAATGAATGGATAGATGAATATAAATAAATGAATGGATGAACAAATGAATGAATATAAATGAATGAATGAATGAATATAAATGAATGGATGGATGGATGAATGAATGAATATAAATGAATGGATGGATGAATGAACGAATGAATATAAATGAATGAATGAATGAATGAATATAAATGAATGAATGGATGAATGAATGAATATAAATGAATGGATGAATGAATGGATGGATGAATATAAATAAATGAATGGATGGATGAACAAATGAATGAATATAAATGAATGAATGAATGAATATAAATGAATGGATGGATGGATGAATGAATATAAATGGATGGATGGATGAATGAATATAAATGAATGGATGGATGGATGAATGAATGAATATAAATGAATGGATGGATGGGTGGATGAATATAAATGGATGGATGAATGAATATAAATGAATGGATGGATGAATGAATGAATATAAATGAATGGATGAATGAATGGATGGATGAATATAAATGAATGGATGGATGGGTGGATGGACAGACGAATGAATGAATGAATGTATATAAATGGATGGATGGATGAATGAATATAAATGAATGGATGGATGAATGAATGAATATAAATGAATGGATGGATGGATGAATGAATGAATGAATATAAATGAATGGATGAATGAATGGATGGATGAATATAAATGAATGGATGGATGGATGGGTGGATGGACAGACGAATGAATGAATGAATGTATATAAATGGATGGATGGATGAATGAATACAAATGAATGGATGGATGAATGAATGAATATAAATGAATGGATGGATGAATGAATGAATGAATGAATATAAATGAATGGATGAATGAATGGATGGATGAATATAAATGAATGGATGGATGGATGGGTGGATGGACAGACGAATGAATGAATGAATGTATATAAATGGATGGATGGATGAATGAATATAAATGAATGGATGGATGAATGAATGAATATAAATGAATGGATGAATGAATGAATGAATGAATGAATATAAATGAATGGATGAATGAATGGATGGATGGATGGATGGATGAATATAAATGAATGGATAGATGGATGAATATAAATGAATGGATGGATGAATGAAAATGAATATTAATGAATGAATTAATGAATTAATATCAATGAATGAATGGATGGATGGATGAAGGAATGAATGGATGTGTGTAGAACAGCCTTTCCCATCCTGGGTGCCTTCAAATCCCCCACCAGCATCAGAATTCTGGGTGCTGAAGTCCACCTTTCTGGATGGGGCCCCGGTTGAGGAGAACTGGCCGTAGGCATAGGGATTGGGGTGTTGCCTGCTTCCGTCTGGGACTGAGTTGACCCCGCCCCTTCTCGCACCCCAGGCTCTTCAAGCCCAGAAGCGGACGAAGGTGATGGCGAAATGCATCTCCCTCAGCAACTACAGCATCAGCAGCACCAACGTGCTCATCATTGGGGCAGGTACTGGCTGGTGGAGACAGGAAGCGACCAAGGGGAAAAGGTCTCATCTTGGGGGGGGGGGGCGGTTCGAGCCCTGCTTGGATGGGGGTCCTCCTGGGGACTCCACTAAGAGGCTCAAGGAGCAGGGATCCCTTCAGAGGTCCAAACTGAGTCTGGTTTTGCCCAGATTTTCAGAGAATTGTGGGAAAACCCACAAAGACACCCCATTGTGGAAGCCCGATTCAGTTATCCGGATCGATTTTCTCATTTATTCTGAAAAATCCATTCAGTCGGGGGATTTGGTAGAACTGTTTTTGGATCAAACCTCCAAATCAAACCGTTGTCCAGCCCAATGGACGCCTCTCGGCTGGAGCGGCACCGTCCCCACTTCCTGGGAGCCTCAGGAGATACTCTGGGAGAGGGGTAGAAAATTCCCTAATGGGGAAGTCTCAGCTGGGAAAAGAGGGGTGCTTCCACCGACGGTCACTTCCTCTGGCAGGTCCTGCTGGGCTGGTGTGTGCAGAGACGCTGCGTCAAGAGGGCTTCTCGGACAGGATTGTGATGTGCACAATCGATCGACATTTGCCCTACGACAGGCCCAAGCTGAGCAAGGTTGGTGCCCACCTAGCAATTTCTCCAAGGCTTTCTCCAGGGCAATGGGTGGCTGGTCCAATTTCCCTTCCTATCCCTAACTCCTGAGAGTTGAGCCTCTTTGAATGAAACAGAATTCCTTTTCGTGCAGTTCATGGATGTCCGTGTAACTTGTTCATCCTGGATTTAAGGGCAGAGTTACTACGGAACCTCTGCTCTTTCGCCTAAAAGAGGCCGAAATGAAGCTTCCACAATCTCTAACGAATCAGAATAGAGCTGGAAGGGACCTTGGAGGCCTCCTAGTCCAAACCCCTGCTTCAGTGCTCCAGGATTTTTGAAAGATATGGTGCAGTGGTTCTGAGATAACATCTGCCAGCTCCTTCAGAACTCTGGGATGTAATCTGTCCGGTCCCGATGATTTATATTAGTCAAGGTCGGATAGGTGTTCTCTTACCATTTTTTTGCTTATTTTAATTTTTATTTCTAGTCTGTCTTTTACAGTTAGGTTTTGGTAGGTTAGGCTATAGTTTTTGTGTGTGTGAAGACTGATGCAAAGAATGAATTAAGCAGCTCTACTTTCTCTCTATTATTGTTACTTCCTTGCCATCTTCTCTCTTTAGTGGATCGACTGTTTCCTTGACTTTTTTTCTTGTTACTTACATGTTGAAGGAAATCTCTTTTGGGTTCTGGCTTCAGCCAAGCCACCCATAGGGTGCTCCCTCCAGAGCTGGACTGACCAAGGTCTGCCCCTCTGCAAACTCTTTTGGCCCAGGGAAGACTGCAGAAGACTCTCGGGTGGTCCCCAAGCAGTCTTCCCAATGGTGTGTGGGAATGACCTTGGGAGACAGGAGGAAGAACTGCAGACTAGACAGCAGACAGATAAGAGGCAGCTGAACCCCCAAAAGAAACGAGGGCACGGGAAACGTCTCGGAAGAGACCCTGCCTAGCTCCTTGGACTGTAAAGGTGAGGGGGAAGAGGTTGCTTTCAGAATCTGTTAATGGAACCTTATAATAAAGTTAGAATTGGTACTTCTGGTTCTGCTTCTTGCCTGGGCTACCTCATAACAATCTTACAAACCTGAAAGTACATCTCTCCCCCGTCACCTTTACAGTCCACGAAACTAGGAAGGGTCCCTTCTGAGATGTTTCCCGTGCCCTCATTTCTTCTGGGGGTTCAGCTGCTTAGAATAGAATAGAATAGAATAGAATAGAATAGAATAGAATAGAATAGAATAGAATAGAATAGAATAGAATAGAATAGAATAGAATAGAAATTAGAATAAAATAGAATAGAATAGAAATTAGAATAGAATAGAATTAGAATAGAAACAGAATTAGAATAGAGTAGAATAGAATTAGAATAGGAATAGGAATAGGAATGGAATGGAATAGAATAGAATAGAATAGAATAGAATAGAGAATAGAATAGAAAATAGAATATAGAATATAGAATATAGAATATAGAATAGAAAATAGAAAATAGAGAATAGAACAGAACAGAATAGAATTATTTACTGGCCAAGTGTGATTGGATACACAAGGAATTTGTCTCCGCTGCAGAAGCTCACAGTGTACCTGTAAACAGCAAGTAATAGGTTATAGATCATAAATCATAGTTACAATCAGTAATCATAAATTAGAAACAACATTTGATAAATCGTAAGAAACTAGCAGGAGAATAGAATAGAATAGAATAGAGCTGGAAGGGACCTTGGAGGTCTTCTAGTCCAGCCCCCACTCAAGCAGGAGACCCTATACCATCTCAGACAGGTGATTGTCCAGCCTCTTCTTAAAAGCCTCCAGTGATGGGGCACCCACAACTTCTGGAGGCAACTTCTGTTCCACTGGCTAATTGTCCTCACTGTTAGGAAGTTTCTCCTTAATTCCAGGTTGCTTCTCTCCTTGATTAGTTTCCAACCGTTGAAGATAGTAGGAAAGATGAGAAAAGATGAGACAATGATGAGACAAAAAGATGAGACAATGCTGTGGGAATTCACTGTTTAGCAGAGTGATGGCACGGGGGAGAAAACTACCTTTGTGTCTGGTTGTTTTGGCATGCAAGGCCTATAGTGGCGTCCTAAAGGGAAAAGTTAAAAAATAGATTATGCGAGATGTGTGGGGTCTGTAGAGATCTTCTCAGCCCTTTTATCTGGCTGTTCCCTCTTTTCTTGTCTCCCAAGGCCATTCTCCTAGACCAGGGGTCTTCAAACGTGGCCCTTTTATGATTTGTGGACTTCAACTCCCAGAATTCCTCAGCCAGGCACAACTTCTGCAAGTTGAAGTCCACAAGTAATAAAAGGGCCAAGTTTGAAGACCCCCGTCATAGACTATTATACCTCCTTAGTGAAACCCTTCAGGTGTACGTGGGATTACAACTCTCAGAACACCTGGCCAGCCTGGCACACATCTGGAAGGCTTTTTAAGGAGTATCTAAGAACAAAATTGACTTCTGCTTTCAGTCAATGGATTCCCACGCTGACCAGATTGCTCTGCGTCCTAAAGAATTCTTCCGCACGAACGACATTGAGGTCCTGACCGAAATGCAGGTGAGGTTGGTCTCTGGGGGAGGAAGCTTCAAAACGGGCCTGGCTCTCTTTGTGGGATGTGGGAAGGGAGAGTCCATGTGGACTCTAAAATGGCCTTTGTTATTCACCCAGAGATGGTTTGGTTTAACCTGCCCTTTGGAGAGCTGCTCTACTAAAGCTGGACCAGTGGAGGCTTGGTTCCATCTCCTAAAATGGTGCAGGAGGGGTGCAGTTGACTCCCTAAATCCTGTCCCCAGAGTGGACTCTGTCTGTTTGGGTGTTGCTCTGATGGGGAAAAAAAACAACAGTTAAGAAATTACTGTTAATGACCCACCCATCTTGTTTCAGGTGGTGGCTGTGGACGTCAAGAACAAGACCGCCATTTTCAAGGATGGATTTAAGATGGAGTATAACAAGCTGCTGCTGGCAACGGGAAACACGTATGTGGGCCCAGGAGGTTTTGCACCAAGTGTTGGGGGTCTTGTTTTTCAGGCACATTTGAGCCCCAAATGTGTCGGAGAAAGACTGGCTGAGCCAGGGGGAGGAGTCAAATGGGGAATTAGTCTGGAACCTTTAAGTATGCAGGATAGAAAATGGAATAGAATAGAATAGAATAGAATAGAATAGAATAGAATAGAATATGGAATGGAATGGAATGGAATGGAATGGAATGGAATGGAATAGAATAGAATAGAATAGAATAGAATAGAATAGAATAGAATCTGGAAGGGACCTTGGAGGTCTTCTAGTCCAGTCTCCTGCTTGAGCAGGAGATCCTATACCATTTCAGACAAGTGACTGTCTAGACTCTAGACTCTTCTTAAAAACCTCCAGTGATGGAGCGCCCACGATTTCTGAAGGCAAAGTTGTTCTACTGCTTGATTGTTCTCATTGTTAGGAAGTGTGCAAGCAGGATCCAGGTTGCTTCTCTCCTTGATTAGTTTCCATCCATTGTTTCCTCTGGTGCTTTGGAGAATAGTTTGACCCCCTCTTCTTTGTGGCAGCCCCTCAAATACTGGATTACTGCTATCATGTCATGCCTAGTCCTTCTTTTCTTTTAGACTAGCCAAATCCAAATCCAAATCCTGCAGCCGTATTTCATATGTTTTGATCTCCAGGCCTTTGATCATCTTAGTTGCTCTTCTCTGAACTCTTTCCAAACTCTTCAACATCTTTTTTATAGTGTGGTGACCAAAATTGGTTGCAGTATTTCAGATGTGATATACATATGTGATTTTGATTCTATGCCTCTGTTTATACAACTCAAGATTGTATTAGCTTTTTTGGCTGCTGCCACACACTGCTGATTTATATTTAAGTTATCATCCACTAGGACTCCAAGGTCTTTCTCACAGTTAACGTTTTTGAGCCAGGTTTTGCGTAATCTGTACTTGTACCTTTGGTTTTTCCTGCCTAAATGTAAAACCCTGCTTTTCTCCACATTAAATTTCACGTTGTTGGACAGGGCACATTGTTCAAGTCTGTCAAGATCTTTTTGGATCCTGAGCTTGTCTTCAGGGGTATTGGCTATTCCTGCCAGCTTAATGTCATCTGCAAATTTGATGAGTTCCCCTTCTATTCCCTCATCTAAGTCATTGATGAAGATATTGAAGAGTACTGGGCCTAAGACAGAACCTTGTGATACCCCACTGCTTACTTCTCTCCCTGTGGATGTAGTGCCATTAAGGACTACTCGTTGAGTACAGTTTGTCAGCCAGTTACAAATCCATCTGGTAGTGATGTTGTCTATTCCCCATTTTTCTAGCTTACCAAGAAATAGGTTGTGGTCTACTTTGTCAAATGCCTTGATGAAATCTAAATATACTATGTCCACAGCATTTCGCTGATCTACTAATTTAGTTACTTTGTCAAAGAATGAAATAAGATTGGTTTGGCATTTTAACAAACCCGTGCTGACTACTAGTTGTAACTTTATTTGTTTCTAGATGTTCGCAGATCTGTTTTTTTGATACTCTTTTCCAGGATCTTCCCAGGTATTGATGTTAGGCTGAGTGGTCTGTAGTTTCCTGGGTCTGCTTTTTTCCCCCTTTCCAGGTGTTCTCTAGAGTTTTACACATTTTTAAAAACCATGGTTAACCCTAATCCATTTTAGACCACATAGGAGGAGAGCTGTGTATGCTGGCCAAAAAAACAGGAGGAGACTGAACTATTTTATTTATTCAATTTAGATTTTCTTTATCCCACTTTTATTATTTTCATAAGTAACTCAAGGCAGCAAACATACCTAATAGTAAAAGGGATGAAAATGATAAAAGTCAGGAGCTGCAGTTCTCTTTCTTAGATCACAAAAAGGGATCCCTTTTGCTCAACTGGGGTAGCCAGGATTTTGTTGTTGTTGTTCTTAATTGCGAAGTCATGTCCGACCCATCGCAACCCCATGGAGAACATTCCTCCAGGCCTTCCTGTCCTCTACCATCTTCTGGAGTCCATTTAAGCCCACGCCTCCTGCTTCAGTGACTCCATCCAGCCCCCTCATTCTCTGTCGTCCCCTTCTTCTCTTGCCCTCCATCTTTCCCAGCATCAGGCTCTTCTCCAGTGAGTCCTTCCTTCTCATTAGGTGGCCAAAGTACTTGAGTTTCAACTTCAGGATCTGGTCTTCTAAGGAGCAGTCGGGGTTGATCTCCTCTAGGACTGACCGGTTGGATCGCCTCGCAGTCCAGGGGACTCGCAGGAGTCTTCTCCAGCACCAGAGTTCAAAGACCTCCATTCTTTGGCGCTCAGCCTTTCTTATGGTCCAACTTTCACAGCCAGACATTGCAACTGGGAAAACCGTGGACCAGGAATAAGGAGACTTTCTCCCTGGCTGTTCCACTTGCCCTTGTTCGATCTTTGCCCTGACTCTCCAATCTCTCCTTCCAGACCCAAAACGCTCAGCTGCAAAGGCAAGGAAGTGGAGAACGTCTTCACCATCCGGACCGTGGAAGATGCCAACCGGGTGGTCAAAGTGGCCACTGGCAAAAACGCCGTCGTGGTGGGAGCTTCTTTCCTTGGTGAGCAAAAGGCTGTGTCGACGGCCTCGGAAGCTGAGCTGATTTGTAATGTGGTTTCTTTAATCTGAGCTTAGTACGCCATAGGAACCAACGGTTGTGGTTTACTACCTAGGGTCTACGGCTTAGCATGCAAAGCAAATCCTGCTGCTTTTAGTTTATTGTACAAACCGTGATTGATGGTTTAGTTAGTACAATGTGTGAACATTGGCCAAATATCTCTTGAAAATTAAACTCTGGCCCCAAGATGGAGATGTGTGTGGGGGGGTTCCCCATCAGTTCTTTTTTTTCCTTGTTTCGCCCAATTTGACTTGTTTCAGCAGCCGGGTTATTTTGTATCAAGCAAGGAGGCAGCTGCTAGATATTGCTTGATACAGGCAGATTAACTCCACGGAAGGGTTTCATGCAAATTACTTTAATTCATCGGGCATCCTCAAGACATTAACTTACAGTTACTGTAGAGATTCTTCTGAAATACATGTCATAATCTGGACCCATCACGTAGGTAAAAAAAAGATAGCTTCTTCTATACCAGTGGTGGCAAACCTATGGCACGGGTGCCAGAGGCGGCACTCAGAGCCCTCTCTGTGGGCACGGGCGCCGTCGCCCCAGTCCTAGACCTTCAGCTGGGTTTTATAAAACCTTTTCGCTTTAGGCCTCCGCCGCTGTGTGCAAAAAAAAAGGTTCAATCAGTCAATTTCAACTTCTCGTGGGAAAAAAAAAGATCTTGCAAAGTTGGAATTGATTGATTGAACTTTTTAGTCCCACCCAGTCTGCCGTTACCACCGCAGCCATGCCCACCCAATGGGCCACGCCCACCCAATGGGCCACACCCAGCCAATGGGCCACACCCACTCGGCACTCAATGATGCATAAGTGGGTTTTGGGTTGCAGTTTGGGCACTCGGTCTCTAAAAGGTTCACCATCACTGTTCCATACTAATGAAGCAAACAGATGTCGTGGCTGGACTTCATAGAGACCTCGCTGACTGGCACGTAGCCAGGAAGTCTGGTAATTAAAGAGAAGTCCCTCCCAGTGGCCAGTCCAAACACAGATATGGCCAGGTAACATAAACTACATTACCCAGAAGGCTATCTCTTAACGGGGCTGTTCTTAATTCCTAAGACAGTTATATACTCTTAAGGTGACCAATCGTCCTCCTTTAAGGGAGGACAGTCCTTCTTTTGTAAGTTTTGTCCTCTCTCGAAAAGTGTCCTCCTACATGTCCTCCTTTTCGATATTTGAAGACAAATCTGTAAATCTCCGTATTCGATCGATGCCGATCCGATCCGTTGCGTGTGATGTGACGTATTTGTATTTGACATGACGATTCGTCAAGGCTCAGTAGAGTGTGGCGAGACGTGATTATGAGATGCATGCGCTCCGCACAGGAGAATTGTTTTGAGAGAGTTGCGCTGCACGCAAGAATGCGCCGCACGCAATTGGCTTTGTTTACTTCTTACCGAAACACGACACGGCGCACGCACACACACACAGGCATTAGACTCAGTTTCTTCAATTTATTTGTGTCCTCCTTCTCGTTGTAAAAAAGTTGGTCACCTTAATACTCTGACTAGCACACGGGTCTTCTGCCTTTGCACTGCACCAACCTGCAGGATCCCCACTCGTCGTGGGTCTTTCTGACGGAGCCTTCCTAACCCTCCTGCTCCGTCTGCCGTTTTGCAGGGATGGAGGTGGCCGCCTACCTTTCGGAGAAGGCTCACTCGGTCTCGGTGGTGGAGCTGGAAGAAGTCCCTTTCAAGAGGTCCTTTGGGGAAAAGGTTGGGCGAGCCCTCATGAAGGCAAGGCAGCTGCCCGGGGGGGGGGGGCTTTGGGGAGGGGCGAGCCTTATTTTGAGGGGCCATTTGGGAATGTTTTTCAACCTTCTCTCCCCCTCCTCTCCCCTCGGACAGATGTTTGAAAACAACCGAGTGAAGTTCTACATGCAGACTGAAGTGTCGGAACTGCGTGAACAGGAGGGCAAGGTAGAGCGGGATGGATGGACTGGATGGAAACTAATCAAGGAGAGATTAAGGAGAAACTTCCTAACACTGAGGACAATTAACCAGTGGAACAGCTTGCTTCCAGAAATTGTGGGCATCACTGGAGGCTTTTAAGAAGAGACTGGATAGTCACCTGTCTGAAATGGTGTAGGGCAGGGGTAAGTAACCTTGGCTCTTTTATGACTCATGGACTTCAACTCCCAGAATTCCTGAGGCAGCTATGCTGGCTCAGGAATTCTGGGAGTTGAAGTCCATGAGTCATAAAAGAGCCAAGGTTGCCTACCCCTGGTGTAGGGTCTCCTGCTTGAGCAGGGGGTTGGACTAGAAGACCTCCAAGGTCCCAGCTCTGTCCTGATTGAATTGAATGGAGTTTAGCGAGGCTTTGGGGCCCCTCAAGACCCTCCATTGAGCCTCTGGTTGGTAGAGGCAAGCCAAGGGGGGGGAGGGCAGTCTCTTTGCAAACTTTGGAACAAGTAGCCAAGTGAAAAAGGCGGGAAACTTGCATTTCTCCTGGGGAGGCCAGCTCTGTAGACAGGATGCCCGGTTCATCATCTCTGCCACCTCCTGTTTCTTTGGGGAAAATACGAATGTCAAGAAGAGAATTGGGCCCTTCCCATCTTTGCCAATGGTCTTCTAGCACTTCCCCAACCTTGCCACCCCCAATCCGGACATGACTTGACTGCCACCCCCATCAGCCACAGCCCCTGCAGCCAAAATCCTCCAATACCCTCCGCTGGACTCATTTTGAGAGCTTAGGATTCTGCCTCTGCACAGAGTGAGGAAGGCCACCGTGGTGGAGGCAACGGGTGACTTCCTTGGACCCGGGCAGGCGTGGAGGAGGGAAGGGGAGGGAAAGGAAGGGGAGGGGAGGCTGACGGACCGCCTTGCCTTATTCTGTTTTCAATTGCCCGGAGCTTGGAAGGTGGCCAGGATCTTTCAAACAGGATCTTTCTGTAGGAAACAGCCCAGCCACATCCATCCACCCAAGGAGGGGTGGGACGTCTCTCCCACCCAAGCAGTGCCTTGTTTTTCTGGCTTCGGGGGTGTCTCAAACAAATCAATTTGGCGTTGTTTTTTTTTTAATTGGCTGCATTTTATCTTTCCCCAAAGCTAAAAGAGGTGGTGCTGAAGAGCGGCAAGGTTCTTCGGTCAGATGTCTGTGTGATCGGCGTAGGTAAGTTGCTGGAGAGCTTTGGGGGCCTGGCCTGGGGCAGGGGTAGGCAACCCAGGCTATTTTATGACTCGTGGACTTCAGCTCCCAGAATTCCTGAGCCAGGATGGCTCAGCTTGGAAACCTCTCCCTTTCCCCTCAGCATGGCTGGCTCAGGAATTCTGGGAGTTGAAGTCCACGAGTCATAAAAGAGTCAAGGTGGCCTACCCCTGCCCAAATGCCTGAATTTTGATCACGTGACTGTGAGGAAAAAACGTTTAAATATTTAAACCAGGGGTCTTCAAACTTGGCCCTTTTATGACTCGTGGACTTCAACTCCCAGAATTCTGGAGCCAGCCCAGCTCAGCTTGGAAACCTCTCCCTTTCCCCTCAGCATGGCTGGCTCAGGAATTCTGGGAGTTGAAGTCCACCAGTCATAAAAGGGCCAAGGTCGCCTACCCCAGGTCTGGGGGCAACCAAGGTCAAGATGACATCAGGACTGCACAATCAAAGTTCCACTCTCTCCATGTGTCACATGCTGTGGTCAGTTGTACTTGGCCATCTTGACCTCTTGGATAGCCCCCTGGGGATGTCCCTGACTGCTCCTGTGTTTTGGAGAGCCTTCCTTGACCCTCCCCACAATGACAGTCCCTATTTTAATCATACAGCTCTGTCTGTCCACCAGGGGGCAGAACGTAGCTGACTGTTGCTGCGTTTGACAAAAAGTTTGAATCAAAAGTTGGAATTGAGATTGCCGGGAGAAATATCAACAACCTAAGATATGCAGATGATACCACTCTAATGGCAGAAAGTGAAGAGGCTCTTGATGCGGGTGAAGAAGGAGAGTGCAAAAGTTGGCTTGAAACTCAACATTAAGAAAACCAAGATCATGGCATCCGGCCCTCTCAATTCCTGGCAAATAGATGGGGAAGAAATGGAGGTAGTGACAGATTTTATCTTCCTGGGCTCCAAGATCACCGCAGATGGGGACTGCAGCCAAGAAATTAAAAGACGCTTGCTCCTGGGGAGGAAAGCTAGGGCAAATCCAGACAGCATACTAAAAAGCAGAGATGTCACCCTGCCAACAAAAGTGCGTATAGTCAAGGCCGTAGTTTTCCCAGTTGCAATGTCTGGCTGTGAAAGTTGGACCATAAGAAAGGCTGAGTGCCAAAGAATGGAGGCCTTTGAACTCTGGTGCTGGAGAAGACTCCTGCAAGTCCCTTGGACTACAAGGCGATCCAACCGGTCAGTCCTAGAGGAGATCAACCCCGACTGCTCCTTAGAAGGCCAGATCCTGAAGTTGAAACTCAAGTACTTTGGCCACCTAATGAGAAGGAAGGACTCACTGGAGAAGAGCCTGATGCTGGGAAAGATGGAGGGCAAGAGAAGAAGGGGACGACAGAATGAGGGGGCTGGATGGAGTCACTGAAGCAGGAGGCGTGGGCTTAAATGGACTCCAGAAGATGGTAGAGGACAGGAAGGCCTGGAGAAACATCCATGGGGTCACGATGGGTCGGACACGACTTCGCAACTAACAAGATTTTTGGATGGGGGACCATCTGGAGATTCTAGGACTGTGACTGAGCTGGAAGGGAGACTATGGCAAAATACTTCTGTATGGTTGCCCAGAAAATTGTCCCTGAAGTAAGTCACAGGACTCAGTGAGGAGAGTGAGAAGAGAGATTATATCTGGCATTGGCTGGTTCACAAAAACTGAGGCGATAAACGAGACAAAGAGACCAGAGATGAAGAGAGGCAAACCACCATCTTGATGCCAAGAAGTCTACATGAAATACCCACCTGTTGTCTGAAAAACACTTGTGTTTGTGGAAAAGAGAAAAAGTGAGAAAGTAAAGTTTTATCTATGACAGAGACATCCTTGCACGAGATAATTATTTGATGTGACGGAAACCGGGGTCCACTGAAGCCATGAGAGAGTATGAGAAGGAAGTGATGGCCTGACGGGGAACCCAAAGAGTGCAGGACTTTGGCAGCGAGGCAGCATCAGCATAAGGGCAGGGAGACGCTCAAGGATGCTTTATTTTATTCATTTAAAGCATTTTAATTCGCTTTCCCACCAAAAAGCCAGAACGTTCTACAGGCCACCAAAGAACAACCACCACCTAAAGATAGTTACGAGCTAAAAATTGTAACTTGGAAGGGAAATAGAAGGAGGAGGGAAGAGGGGAAAAAAAAACTTACAACAAAGCACCAATTAGTAATTGGGACTTAAAATTGTATTATTTCCAATTTATATGGATGGTCTATCCTTGTATGATTTATAAAGCAGATGGTGTTGTCAAGGGTAACTGGCACTTGGTAATGGTCTTTTCCGTGGTTCAGATAAATGGGGCTGGGAGCCAAGAGTCCCTCCCACTGTTAATGTCCCTCTTATCTTTGGTGCAGGAGCCACGCCAGCCACCGGCTTTTTGAAGCAGAGCGGCGTTCATCTGGACTCCAAAGGTTACATCGTGGTGAACAAGGTAGAAGCAGCCAACCAGGCCGAAGAGGGAGGGTTGAAGTGGCTGATCAAACACTGGATATTTTATTTTATTTTATATTTTATATTTTATATTTTATATTTTATATTTTATATTTTATATTTTATATTTTATATTTTATATTTTATATTTTATATTTTATATTTTATATTTTATATTTTATATTTTATNTTATTTTATTATTTTATTTTATTTTATTTTATTTTATTTTATTTTATTTTATTTTATTTATTTTTTATTCTGTTCCGTTCTGTTCCATCCTGTCCTGTCCTGTCCTATTCTATTCTATTCTATTCTATTCTATTCTATTCTATTCTATTCTATTCTATTCTATTCTATTCTATTCTATTCTATTCCATTCCATTCCATTCCATTCCATTCTATAATCTGTCTGTTCTATTCTATTCTATTCTATTCCATTCCATTCCATTCCATTCCATCTTCTATTCTATTCTGTTCTGTTCCATTCCGTTCCATTCCGTTCCGTTCCGTTCCATTCCATTCCATTCTATTCTATTCTATTCTATTCTATTCTATTCTATTCTATTCTATTCTATTCTATTCTATTCTATTCTTCCTCCTTCCCTCTCTCCCTCTTTCCTCCTATCTTCTCCCCCTTTCCTCCTGTAAGGACCATTCCATGCTCCCCCCTTGCAAGGCCTCCCCCCCCAAACAGAGCTCTTCTCTCCCTTCCAGATGATGCAGACCAACGTTCCAGGGGTTTTCGCTGCGGGCGACGCAGTCACTTTTCCTTTGGCACTGCGAAACCACAAGAAGACCAACGTTCCACACTGGCAGATGGCCCACATGCACGGTGGGTATTGCTGTGGCCTTCTGACTTGGAAGAAAAGCCTCCAGTCACCCCTTGGAAGTCCTGGGAAGTCCTTAGCAAATGGTGCAGAAGGCTGCAGACTGTCTGGTTTTTCATGAGGTCAAGATATCAGGCGAAGCAGAGGCCCAGATCCGATGATGCTGGTTCTTCCCCCCTTCTGACCACAAGGAGCAGTGAGGTAGAGAGAGAGGGGGGATTCTGTGTCCCCTCCATCTTGGTCATCTCTCTGCTCTTGCAGGGCCTCTTCTTCCATCCCTTCCCAGGCCTACAACAGCCTCTCTGATTCTCCTTCTGGTGGTCAGTTCTGCCCTATCCAACAAAATGAAATTTAATATGGAGAAAAGCAAGATTTTACACTTAAGTAGAAAAACCAAAGGCACAAGTACAGATTGGGCGAAACCTGGCTCAAAAACAGCAACTGTGAGAGGGACCTTGGAGTCCTAGTGGACGATCCCTTGACTATGAGCCAGCTGTGTGCGGCGGCAGCCAAAAAAGCTAATACAATCCTTGGTTGTATAAATAAAGGCATAGAATCAAAATCATGTGAAGTATTAACACCGCTTTATAAAGCCTTAGTAAGGCCACATCTGGAATATTACATCCAGTTTTGTTCACCACATTACAAAAAAGATCTTGTGACTTTGGGAAAAATGCAAAAAAGAGCAGCTAAGATGATTAAAGGCCTGGAGACTAAAATATACGAAGAACGGTTGCAGGATTTGGGAATGGCCAGTCTAGACTCTAGAGAAAAGAAAGATTGGGGGGGGGGACATAATAGCAGTACTTCAGTATTTGAGAGGCGGCCACAAGGAGGAGGGGGTCAAACTATTCTCCAAAGCACCAGAGGGCAGGACAAGAAACAATGGATGGAAACTGATCAAGGAGAGAAGCAACCTGGAATTGAGGAGAAACTTCCTGACAGGGAGGACAATTGATCAGTGGAACAGCTTCCCTCCAGAAGATGTGGGTGCTCCATCACTGGAGGCTTTTAAGAAAAGACTGAACAGCCCTTTGTCTGAAATGGTATAGGGTCTCCTGCTTGAGCAGGGGGTTGGACTAGAAGACCTCAAAGGTCCTTTCCACTTCTATTCTATTCTATTCTATTCTATTCTATTCTATTCTATTCTATTCTATTCTATTCTATTCTATTCTATTCTATTCTAATCTACAATCTGTCCTATTCTATTCTATTCTATTCTATTCTATCCCAATCTTATCTTCCCTATAAATAAACCTCCCTTCTGCTCTAGTTTTCAAGCACTCCTCCTAGCTCAGGGCAGATGCTTTAGTGGCACATGGAGAGCACATCCAAGGCCAACACAGTGCTAGGCTGCATTAACAGAGGGACAGAATCAAGATCACGTGAAGTATTAATACCACGTTACAAGGCCTTGGTAAGGCCACACTTGGAATACTGCATCCAGTTTTGGTCACCACGATGTAAAAAAGATGCTGAGACTCTAGAAAGAGTGCAGAGAAGAGCAACAAAGATGATTAGGGGACTGGAGGCTAAAACATACAAGGAACGGTTGCTGGAATTGGGTATGTCTAGTCTAATGAAGAAAAGGACGAGGGGGACAGGATAGCAGTCTTCCAATATCTCAGGGGCTGCCCCAAAGAAGAGGGAGTCAAGCTATTCTCCAAAGCACCTGAAGGCAGGACAAGAAGCAACGGGTGGAAACTGACCAAGGAGAGAAGCAACTTAGAAGTAAGGAGAAATTTCCTGACAGTGAGAACAATTAACCAGTGGAACAACCTGCCTCTAGAAGCGGTGAATGCTCCAACACTGGAAGTTTTTAAGAAGAGACTGGACAGCCATTTGTCCGAAATGGTTTAGGGTTTCCTGCCTGAGCAGGGGGTTGGACCAGATGACCTCCAAGGTCCCTTCCAACTATTATTATTATTATTATTATTATTATTATTATTATTATTATTATTATTATTATTATTATTATTATTATTATTATTATTATTATTATTAATCTCCAGCAACAGCAGAACAAGGTGGGTGTTAAAAAAGGCAAGGCTGCCATTACAACCACCTGTTCAACTTTTCCTGATCTTGTAGCTCTCTTGGTGCAGCTTAGGATTGCACTCGTCTTGTTTGCAGCTGCAGGACACTGCTGGCTCAGGTTCAAATTTGGAATCCACTAGACTAGAGGATACCCAGAGACCTTTCCCCATGTCCTGCTGTCCTCTAAAGCTCCTCCCATATTAGGTGCACACCTTTAGATTTTCCCTACCTTAGTCTAGGACTTTGTGAAGAAGTCTAGAGCTGGTCTAGGGGCGATAAGGAAGGCAGGAGTGAACTCTTTAAGGGAGGACTTTCCGAAAAGATGACTTAGTCTTGAGGAACAGGAAAGCAGGAGAAAGACACGCCAGATGGCTACAGTTTTGTGTATGGGACAGGGAGATAGTTGGACAGCCCCCCCCAAGTGCTGTTTCTCTACCCCACGACAATAAAAAGCACTGCAAGAGTCCCTGCACCGTTCTCGTCTCCGAAGATGGATTTGTTGAATGCAGTTTGCAAGAGCCAATGATCACATTGTCTGTTTGTTGACCTAGCCAACCTCAAAGGGTTTTACATCAGTGTTTTTCAACCTTGGCAACTTTAAGATGGGTGGACTTCAACTCCCAGAAGCTGGCTGGGAAATTCTGGGAATTGAAGTCCACCCATCTTAAAGTTGCCAAGGTTGAGAATACTGGCATATACCTATTCAAATAACGAACAAACATAGTTTTGATGTGCTCCAAAGACTCTCATGCATAGGCTTGGTTGACTTCTCTGTTACATTCCCTATTACATTGCTTAACTCTGTTACCTCCCAGGGCGCATAGCAGCACTGAACATGCTGGCCTATGGGACAGAAATCAGCACCATCCCTTACCTGTGGACCGCCATGTTTGGCAAGAGCATTCGCTATGCAGGTGAGGGGAAAAGGATTGGAGAGGGTGCCAAGATCTGCTTCTTGGTTGCCTTACTGGTTTGGCGGATTGATGTTCTCAGCTCCTTTGTATTTTAACTTTTGTCGTGTCATTGTTTTTATTTCACTCTGTTTTCTGCCCAGAGTCACTTGTTAATGTGGAGGGTCCATATCAATTGGATAAATAAGGGGTCCCGGGTGTTTTCTGAGCTTGGTTATTTTCTTGCAGACGTTTCATTACCCAGCTAGATAACATGATCAGTGCTAGAAGGAAGTGGAATTTATGGAGAGGAGGAAGGAGGGAGGGAGGGAGGGAGGGAGGAAGGAAGGAAGGAAGGAAGGAAGGAAGGAAGGAAGGAAGGAAGGAAGGAAGGAAGGAAGGACGGATGGACGGACTATGGGGTCCCGAGTGCTCTTTGGAATTCAGCCTAGATTTGAAAGGCTGGAGAAAGCATCTAATTTAGGGTGCTTTAAAATGTCTTCTTCTCCACTCTTGACCAAAAGGAAGCTAACTCGGCACTTTGTCGACTCACCTGCCCTTTGCAACAAAATTCTCCTTGTTTTCTCCATGTGGCAATGTAGTGCTCCATAAAAATGTGCTGCAATACTTTTTTAAAAAAAATGCATATTTATTTCAAAATGCTTCTAAATATATTTATGCATGCGTAGTATTGATTGGCTTCTTATATTTTTATGCTTTTTTTTAAAGAAACAAGATTGCAGATTGACATAGGAAAAGAAAATTGTGTGCCTCCTACATATATACACGTTTTGTTTTCTAGGTCATGGAGAAGGATTTGATGATGTGATTATTCGGGGAGACCTAGACGAACTTAAATTTGTAGCCTTTTACACAAAGTAAGTGCCCACGAAAAGCTTTAATTTACAAGCCGCCATGATGTGTGTTGCAAAATTATACTGTGCGTTTACAATAAGCAAATACAGCGGCTTGCATATTGCTTGTTGATGTTACAGAAGCTGGCTGAATCTGTGCAATCAAGTTTAGCTTCAAAGAATAATAGAACCTTTTTATTTTATTTTCTTGGCCATGAAACTCCAGATTTCTCAACCTTGGCAACTTTAAGATGGGTGGACTTCAACTCCCAGAATTCTCCAGCCCGCATAGCTGGCTGCGTAATTCTGAGATTGAAGCTGCCCTGCCTTAAAACTTGTCAAGGTTGAGAAATACAGTACTAAAAAAAAAAACAATTTTGAAGAAGCACACCGAGAATAGAATAGAATAGAATAGAATGGAATGGAATGGAATGGAATGGAATGGAATAGAATAGAATAGAATAGAATAGAATAGAATACACTGGACTGGACTAGACTAGACTAGACTAGACTAGACTAGACTAGACTAGACTAGAATAGAATAGAATAGAATAGAATAGAATAGAATAGAACTGGAAGGGACCTTGGAGGTCTTCTAGTCCAGCCCCCTGCTCAAGCAGGAGAACCTATACCATCTCAGACAGGTGAATGTCCAGTCTCCTCTTAAAAACCTCCAGTGATGGAGCGCCCACTATTTCTTGTGGCAAGCTGTTCCACTGGTTGAGATTGTCCTCCCTGTCAGGAAGTTTCTCTCTTTGATCAGTTTCCATCCATTGTTTCTCGTCCTGCCCTCTGGTGCTCTGGTGAACAACCTGGCCCCCTCTGCCTTTTGGCAGCCCCTCAGATACTGGAACACTGCTATCACTGTTAAGAATTTTGATCGACTTGAATATGGGGCTGCATCCAGTTCGGCGCCCATGTTCAGTGGTGAGAAATGCCAGGTTCCCAAGTTAAGTAGAAACAAGATGGGCAGTTCTTGGCTTAGCAGTTGTACTTGATAGACCACAGATTTCAAATAAGCCAGCAGTGCACAGCAGCTGCACCCAGAAAAGGGTCTGCCTATTGGACAGCACCGTCTGCAGTGGGGAATTTGAAAAGCCATCCTGTCTTTCTTGACCACCCCTGGGAAATGGCACATTGGCTAGCTTGTTCTTTGAGCTAAGAATGTGGGTCACGCAAATACAATTAGTCAGCATTTGTGTCCCACTCGTATCCCCTAGTTCAGTGGTGGCGAACCTATGGCACGCGTGCCAGAGGCGGCACTCAGAGCCCTCTCTATGGGCACGCGTGCCGTCGCCCCAGCCCCACCTCCCCCCGTGCTCCCCTCCTCACCAGCAGCTCCTCCCAAGAGGAGAGTTGCCCCCGGGCGCAGCTCGCGCGGAACAGCGCAGCCAAGGACATGGCAGTCAGGCAGCAGGGACAAGACTCCGCCCTCGTGCCCTGTCATGCGCAGATGATGCTGCAGGGTGCGGGCGGAGGGCGTGGCCGCCATGGTGCTGCAGGGCCACCTGGGCAATCTGCTGAGGCGGGCCATGGAGGCGGTGGGTGGCCCTGCAGGCGGGCAGGTGGGGCAGGGATGGAGCAGGGGGCAGAGTGGATGGGGGCGGGGCGGTTTTTGGGCACTCGGTCTCTAAAAGGTTCGCCATCACTGCCCTAGTTGCTGATCCCTTCAGTTTGTCGGGTCAGCGCAGCAGACCTCGGTGCAAAAGAAGCAAAGCATCTGGGAAAACATCTGGGGATCCACTGGGACCTCCGGCCTTGTGTGAAATGCGCCAAGGCCTGGCGGCAGCCGCTCTCATCCTTCACTTCTGGGTCTCTTCTTCCAGGAGCGACGATGTGCTGGCCGTGGCGAGCATGAACTACGATCCGCTGGTCTCCAAGGTGGCCGATGTCATGGGCTCCGGCAGGATCATCCGCAAACGAGACGTGGAGTAAGTCACCCTGAGCTGCTGCTGATGCCTTCCTCCAATCACAGAACGGTTAACTCTGAGCAAATATTCCAGCCTCCCTCCCCGTCCCCTCCCCATGGAGCAACATCCTTCAGCAAACACAAGTGTGAGCTTCTTGCGGCTCTCCCTGTGCGGCTGATTGCCTGGGGGCTTCTGAGAACTTGGAGAGTCCCCCCCCCCAGTTTAGAAAGGGAATGATCACATTCAGTGTCAGGCTAGAATGGAATTTAGATATTTTTTTTTCAGCACCGAGGAAAGTGGCCCTGACTTACTCTCCTTTTGTCCCTCTTTCTTCTTTTATTGCTACAATTTAAGGATCTTCAACCGGTATGTATGTCCATGTGTATGTTTGCATTAACATCATGGCCCAGCTGAGGGCTTTCAGCTGAGAAGCTCTTCCTGGTTTTTAATTAGAAAAAAGAGGGAATCTGTGGCAGCACAGCTCCATTATTAAATGATTAACAAGAGCCCAGAGGCTGCTTTTGTGCAAAGTTCTGTGTCCTTCCATGGTCAGCTGGGGAACAGACAGACACCATGCCACTGTGCTCTGGATCTGTCTGTCTGTCTGTCTGTCTGTCTGTCTATCTATCTATCTATCTATCAATCTCTCAATTATCTATCATTATCACTAAAGTGTCTGTCTGTCTGTCTGTCTGTCTGTCTGTCTGTCTGTCTGTCTGTCTGTCTGTCTGTCTATCTATCTATCTATCTATCTATCAATCGTTATCTCTTAATTATCTATCTATCTATCTATCTATCTATCTATCTATCTATCTATCTATCTATCTATGTATCTATCTATCTATCTATCTATCTATCTATCTATCTATCTATCTATCTATCTATCATCTCTTAATTATCTATCTATCTATCTATCATCTCTTAATTATCTATCTATCTATCTATCTATCTATCTATCTATCTATCTATCGTTATCTCTTAATTATCTATCTATCTATCTATATCTATCTATCTATCTATCTATCTATCTATCTATCTATCTATCTATCTATCTATCTATCTATCATTATCTCTTAATTATCTATCTATCTATCTATCTATCTATCTATCTATCTATCTATCATCTATCTATCTATCTATCTATCTATCTATCTATCTATCTATCTATCTATCTATCTATCTATCTATCTATCTAATTCTGGGAGTTGAAGTCCACGAGTCATAAAAGAGCCAAGGTTGCCTACCTCTGCCTTAAGGGAAGGAGAAACGGCACCTCCTTCCATCCTGGGCAGATGGAAAATGTCAAGAGGAATCTCAACACCACTCCATCTTGATTCTCTTTTGCGCAAGAGGGGATGCCAGAAATTTGCGAGGCTCTGAAGATCGAAGGAAGCCCTTTAGGAACCAGCAGGGATGCCAGAAATTCCCTCCCTTTTTAGCGTTTCTCTTGTAGAAGTTATGCTCCTGACTGATGCCGAATTAATCACAGAAACCTGAAAGTCTGTCCAGGTTTCTCTCTTCCCCACGAAAGCTCATTCTAGTCTGGGGCCAGTCATTCAATTTCAGCTCCACAGGAGAGAGACTGGAGGATGAAACACACCCCGGCTGCCTTTGGTTCCTGGGGGCAGGAAGGCTGGCTGCTGATCAGATGGACGAATAGTGAAAACAGATTCCCTCTTTGGACCATGCCTGTGCAGGTCAGAGTATATAGCTATCTCAGGAGTTAAGAACTGTCCCCTTAAGGGTTAGTTTTCTGGGTAATGTAGTTTAAGTCAGGGCTTTTCAACCTTTTCACCCATTGTACCACTTTTAGGATATGGCAACATCCGAGTACCACCAGTCAACTAGCAAGGTGTCAAAAACTTGATGACCCCCCCCCAAAAGGAAAAAAGTGATGAAGTGCAGGTAGTCCTCGACTTACAACAGTTCGCTTAGTGACTTTTTGAAGTTACAATGGCACTGAAAAAAGTGCCCCCCAAGCCACAGCCGAGCAAGACACCTGCCTGCCCACCTGGCAGCGCTCTTCCTCCTGTCCGAGGTTTTCATTGTTGTGAGCATTTCTGTTTAGGATTGGCAGCGGGGGTGGGGTGAGGGGGTTGATGGTTTTTATTCCCCCCCCCCTGTCTGCTGGGTGTTGCAGCAGGTTTTGGTCACTTCACATGACCCTGGGACACTGTGACCGTCATAAATATGAATCGGTTGCCAAGCATCTGAATGTAAATCACAAGACCCTGGAGATGCTGCAACATTCCAGCTGATCGGCGCTTCTTCTGGGCTCAGCAGAAGTGCCAGGATCAGCGCCGAGCTCCAGCTGGATCCTGGCACTGATCCTGGCGCTTCCGCTGAGCCCTGACAGCCCTGCAGCTCCAGCCGTCTCTCGCTTAGGCTTGTGCGGTGCTGCCACCGGTTCAGCTCATTCCCCTCCCCCACTACCACTTTCCTAGGATGGTCGCGTACCACCTGCCAGGTGCCAATGTACCACAGGTGGTACCAATACCACTGGTTGAAAAGCCCTGGTTTAAGTTACCTGGTCATATCTGTGTTCGGATTGGCCACTGGGAGGGACTTCTGATTGTTACTGGATTTCCTGGCTGCGTGCTGGCCAGCGAGGTCTTGACGAATTCCAGCCACGGGAACTGTTTGCTTCGTTAGCATGGAAGAAACTCTCTCTTTTTACCTATGTGTTGGGTACAGATTATGCAATGAATGTCAGATGTATCTTCAGTAACTGTGAGTTAATGTTAAAGAATGCCTGATGAATTAAAGCAATCTGCATGAAACCCTTCCGTGGAGTTAATCTGCCTGCATCGAGCGATATTCAGCAGCAGCCTTCTTGCTCGATACGGGACAGTAAAAAGAGATAAAATCTTCGTCTGCATGCCTGAGTAAAAAGAGAGAGTTTCCTCCATGCTAACGAAGCAAACAGTTCCCGTGGCTGGAATTCGTCAAGACCTCGCTGGCCAGCACGTAGCCAGGAAATCCAGTAACAATCAGAAGTCCCTCCCAGTGGCTGGCCGAACACAGATATGACCAGGTAACTTAAACTACGTTACCCGGAAGACTATCCCTTAAGGCAGGGCTTTTCAACCAGTGGTACGGGTACCACCTGTGGTACATTGGCACCTGGCAGGTGGTACGCGACCATCCTAGAAAAGTGGTAGTGGGGGAGGGGAATGAGTTGAACCGGTGGCAGCACCGCACAAGCCTGAGCGAGAGACGGCTGGAGCTGCAGGGCTGTCAGGGCTCAGCGGAAACGCCAGGATCAGCGCCAGGCTCCAGCTGGAGCTCGGCACTGATCCTGGCGCTTCTGTTGAGCCCAGAAGAAGCGCCAATCAGCTGGAATGTTGCAGCCTCTCCAGGGTCTTGTGATTTACATTCAGATGCTTGGCAACTGATTCATATTTATGACAGTCACAATGTCCCAGAGTCATGTGAAGTGACCAAAACCTGCTGCAACCACCCAGCAGACGGGGGGAATAAAAACCAAACATCCCCCATCCCACCCCCGCTGCCAATCCTCAACAGAAATGCTCACAACAATGAAAACCTCGGACAGGAGGAAGAGCGCCGTCGGGTGGGCAGGCAGGTGTCTTGCTCGACTGTGGCTTGGAGGGCACTTTTTTCAGTGCCATTGTAACTTCAAAAAGTCACTAAGCGAACAGTTGTAAGTCAAGGACTACCTGCACTTTATCACCTTTTTCCTTTTTGGGGGGGGACATCAAGTTTTTGACACCTTGCTAGGCGACTGGTGGTACTCGGATGTTGCCATATCCTAAAAGTGGTACAATGGGTGAAAAGGTTGAAAAGCCCTGCCTTAAGGGGACAGTTCTTAATTCCTGAGATAGCTATATACTCTGACCAGCACAATGCCTGTCATTCCTGTGCGACCTCCTCCTGTGACCCTCCCTTCCTGTCCAAGAATTTCCTGGCGGGTTTCCAGCCGTGCCAGGGAGCGAACATGGCCCAAAGTGAGGAAGGCTTTGGCTGAGCTACTGCCTGGTTGGACTGCACCCCTGGTCCGGCCTTTAAGCCAGCATTGTCTGTTTCCTGCTGGCCTTCAGGGAGGCTGCCCTAACCCAGCTGCCGTTTTGTCTTTTCTGCAGAACCGGAGACATGTCCTGGCTGACGGGGAAAGGCTCCTAAAAACACTGGGAATCCCGTGTCTGGTTCCCTTTTAGGGACCTCTGCAAAGGCACCTTCCTCCAGGCTTGGCGAGCCTGACATCCCACCCCCCCACACACACAGTGGCTCTTCTCCTGGCTCTTTCCCTCATCTCCAGGATCTCCGTGGAGCGCATCGGAGGTGGACTCGCACTAGAGCTGCTGTGAGACGGTTGTAGCAGCCCTCCGGGTGGAGCTGAAGGAGCATCCTTGGAACCGGCGGGCTGGGGAGGGAAGGGAAATGCACGGGGCGGGCACCTTTTGCAGGCTGGCACAAGGCCCAACGAGTCAGCTGCCGAGGCTGCTTGGGGACAGGGCACAGCTTCCTCTGGATGCTGCCTGGCGCCACCCTTCCCTTCTCCCAGGGCAAGCCCTTGCCCGCTGCTCCCACAGTGCCATGTGCCAAAAATGTCTTCTTGCGTCATGTGGATGGTGGTAGAAGGTCCCTTGGAGAGCTGGGAAACCACAACGTGGCCTGAGCAGCTTCTGTTCCTTGCTCCTCTGTGGCTGAACCACCCCTGATCTAGTGGGATGACTGGAACCTGCAGCTTCTACCCTGGTTCCATCTCCCTTCCCCCCCCCCCCCACTTTTTTTCCTTGGCAGTGCACTTTAGATTCGGGACCAGGTTTCCTGTGTAGGGATGCTGAAGCAGCGTGGAATTCCACTCTCGGATCAGGGTGGTTTTTTTTACTGGATAACTAGAGAAGGATCATCTTGGCTATTAATTGAAAGCAGGTTGGCCTTTTAATTAAACCGAGCTTCCTTTTTGTTCCGCTCCTGCCTCTTGGCCAGAATGCAGCCTCTTTGTCCGGAAAGGCCAAAACCAACGCCGGGCAGAAATTATTCTCCTTTTTCCTCCCCGTGCGATGGATTCATAAATCCACACGGGGGAAACGGAGTCATCCTGCTCCTGCTCGCACTAGTAAAATCGACACGGTGCAGCTGGGTTTTATGTGGGATGCGCAGAGCTTGGATTGCACCCCTGGGGCCACCAGCTCTACTTTTGATGCTATGGTTAATCCCCAACTTACAGCCATTCATTTAGTGATGGCCCTGGAAAAAGTAAATCAAAAGAAGTCCCTGCATTTTATGACCTTTGCGGCATGGCATTCCCACGGTCATGGATTCGACAGCGGATGCTTAGCAACCGGCATGTATCTTCGAGGGTTACAGCATCCCCAGCTCGTGTGGTCACCATTGGCGACGTTCCCAGCCGATTTTCATCGAGCAAAGTCAATGGGGGAAACCAGTTTTGCTTAATGACCGCACGATTCACTTAACGACTGGGGCAAAACGGTCATAAAATTGGATGCAGTTGAAATTCTGGTCCCAAGTGTGATCATAATTTGAGATCTCCCTATATACGTCTTGCCCTCCCCCCGGGGGGCTCCCCATCCCAGACGCGCAAGTAAGAGGGCGGTTGGTCTGGCCTGATGTGGCCTTCTCCCTGCTTTCACAGTCTCCACACTTTTTAAAAATGTTCTTAATAAACCGAATGTATGCCATGCATCTACGTTATGTTAGCCTCCGGTGCTTCTCTCTTGGTGGAAGGAACGGGACGGGCACCGTAGTCTAAAAGGGGCAAGAAGTTGGGAAGGGAGAGAGAAGACACCTGTGGGCCAGCCACACTCACCTGGGCCCTAGGCAGGTGCCTGTCTGTTCTGTGGAGCTGAACCCTGGACCAAAGCTCAACCTCCAGAAATGGGTGGGAGGGAGCGAGGGAGGTGTCTTCCAGTCCTATTGGACTACAACTTCCATCATGTCTTGCATTCCTGGCTGAAAATGTTTTTAGACATTTAGACAATGGGAGATGTAGTCCAAGTGTTCCAGACTCTTCCTCCTTGCTTCTAACTTCTGGCTTCTTGTGGGTACGTCAGTTCAGCCCCCCGTGGCCGAAGGAGGAGGTAATGGAGACACCGGTGCAAGCTAGAGGTGCCCACTCCGATGGCTGCAGCCTCTTTCCTCCTCGCCTCCCTCCCCTTCCAGACATGGGGCACCAGCCTCCAGGGCCCTTTGGGGTGGCGCTGCTGAACTCCGGAGGTGGAGCAGCTGCAGGAGGACCCCTTGGCGGTGGGGGTCTTGTTTTTTAAAAAATGTGTTTGCCTTTATTCATTTTACCAAACAGAACAGAGAAAAGAAAACATTAGGGGGGAAAAGGGAGGAACCCATAGACATGAGGGCTTCTCATACATGTGCATGGTATGTAAAATTTTACACACATTTTTCATACGGTGACCGTAAATCAGTGTCATGGTCAGCCCATGACCTGCACCTGCACGTAAAACAGAGGCAGAACACTTGCCTTTTGGAAACTTAGTGCAAACATGGCCACCATCCTGATGGCGTTTCCTGCATAAATTTGCCAGCGACATCAAGCCTTCAAACCGCTGAGTAACAGCTGAGTAACTGGGAGCCATTCACGTGGCTTTCCTCCTGGAAGGTCTCCAACCCTCATCTTAATCTGAACTCTGCTTAGGGCTAAAAAACCTTTCAACGTTGGAAAGCGCAATGTGTTTTTAAGAGGAGCTGCAGAAGCAAGGCTGCTACCAAGACTGACAGCAGGCATGGAAATGCAGCAATTCCTACTTCTTCTTCTTCTTGTGCCATATCCGTTATCGGATGTTGGCGATCCTGTTGGCGATCCTGTTTTTATCAGCAGCCGCACGAAAAAGTGCTGCTGAGTTTTGTCCAAACCAGTCCCTTAGATTTTGAAGCCACGACGTTCTTCTTCTGCCTGGACCTCGTTGGCCTTCCATCTTTCCCTGGAGGATTAAATGGAGTACGCCGTATTCTTCTGGGTGTCGCATCACATGTCCGAAATATTCTAATTTTCGTTTTTTAATTGTTTTGATGATTTCCCTCGGCTTTCCCAGGCAGCTTATCCCCTCCTCATTTCTGATCTTGTCAACCCAGCTTGTACGTAACAGCCGCCTGTAAATCCACATTTCAGATGCTTCTAGTCTCTTCAGGTGGCCTTCTGTCAGAGACCCACTCTCCACTCCATAGAGCAGGATAGACAAAATACAGCATCTGACAAGCCTGGTTTTCAGTCTTATCATGTTCATGGCAGCAATTCCTACAGCCACATTAAATAGCTTCACGGCCAAGGCAGATGAGAGGCTGAGCTGGAAGGACAGAGCAAGCGGGATGCTGGGAAGCCCTTTTTGCACATCACAGCGCTGCAAGCACTGGCTAGGGAATTCTGGGAGCTGAAGTCCCCCAGTTGCCAAGTCTGGAGACCCCTGGCATAGACGGAAGGTCGTTAGGACCACTTTTCAGTGCTCTAAGTCAGAGGTCTCCAACCTTTTGGGCACCAGGGACCGGTTTTGTGGACAGAGGTTTTTCCGCGGACCGGAGGGTGCGTGGTTTTGTGTGCTGCCTGCATCTCGCGGATGGGGCTTTGCTTGTTTGTGCGGCCCGGTTGCTGGCATGCTGCAGCCCGGTACTGATCCAGGGACCGGGTGTTGGGGACTCCTGCTCTAAGTGAAGGGTTACAACGGGAACAGATAGTGTGTGTGTGCTTTCTTATCTGGCAATGTCACAGGCCAGCCATTGTCACGTTCTCGTCCTTCCCACGTCCTATTTTGAGCACCACCAGATTAACCCAGACTTGAAGGACAGTTGGGACAGCCTGGTCTGAAAATGAGATTAAGCACTTCTACTGTCACGTCTCGTCTCGTGATCCAGCTGGGACTGGGGGAGGGAACAGGAGAGAGTACGATCCTGGGCTGTGAGGACTGCAACTTCTTTCTGGATCTCTGGAAGGCTTGATGACTTTTGGTGTCACTCTCTCTCTCTCTCTCTCTCTCTCTCTCTCTCTCTCTCTCTCTCTCCGGCAACGGCCAGACCTAGGACAGCAGCATGGCTCAGGTCTACCAGCTAGGTACCTGGGGTCGGGGGTGGGGGGTGGGCTGCCATGCAGCACAGAAGGGTTTCACACCCCCACCCACGTTGCAAGGAGGGCCGCAACATCCAAAAGGCTGGATGGTTGGGGGGGGATTCAAGGCTATAGAGCAGACATGGCAAACACAAGGCCCGGGGGGGCGGATGCAGCCCGCAAAGTTGTTTCATGTGGCCTGCAAAGCCATCCTGGAAACAGTGAGGGAACGGCCCCCTCTGCCTTGGCCCTGGCCCAGGCCAGCCAGGAGCCAATGTACAATTTTGTGGTGGCCATCTATGCTGAAACTCATTCAGTCTTAGCTCCATCAGCACCCTCCCCTGCATGGCCTGAGAGGAACACTGAGGCTCCTCCAGTGGACCATGCCTTGGCACTTGCCCCGGTCCCACCCCCTTCTGCCAGAGACCCTCAGATCTGTCCCACTCCTGCCCAGGCCCCCACAGGCACCCTTGACGGGAACGATGTAGAGCTGGCCACACCCACCCAGTAGGCCACACCCACTCCATCCACGCCCACCCAGTAGGCCACACCCACCCTGGACACCCCCCCCCGAGGGCAACCACAATGCTGATGCGGCCCTCAATGAAATTGAGTTTGACACCCCTGCTCTATAGCAGGGGTGGGGACTTCCTTTTATGACTGGTGGACTTCAACTCCCAGAATTCCCCAGCCAGCGTGGCTGAGTTGAAGTCCACCAGTCATGAAAGGGCCAAGGCTCCTCACCCCTGCGGTAGAGTCCCAAGAGCGTCCAAATCCAGAATACCCCTCCTGTCAGAGATTGCGGGCAGGCTGGCAGAGGAACCAAGCAATGGAAGGAGACTCAGTTACCCGCTTATGATTCAGTGCCAGCTCAGCCCAGGAGGGGAGAAAACTAGGAAGAAGCATTTCTAATTTATTTGTAGCTCAGGGTTGAAATGAGGGGGTCCTTGGTGCTCTCTGAGCTTGCCTGTTTTCTTGCAGACGTTTCATTACCCAACTAGGGAACATCATCAGTGGTACAAGGGAGTGGAATTTAGGGAGGGGGGTGAAGGAAGGGAGGGGGGAAGGAAGGAAGGGAGGAAGGGAGGGAGGGAGGACGGACTATGGGGTCCTTGGTGCCCTCTGAGCTTGCCTGTTTTCTTGCAGACATTTCATTACCAAACTAGGTAACATCATCAGTGCTCTGGTGATGTTACCCAGTTAGGGCAATGAAATGTCTGCAAGAAAACAGGCAAGCTCAGAGAGCACCAAGGACCCCCTCATGTAAAGAGACTCTTTACATGAGACTCTCGTGTAAATTCACATCACCATTGCAGCATCCCTGTGATCACGTGATCAAAATTCAGATTCACATATTTATGAGGCTTGCAATGTCCCGGGATCACGTGATCTCCTTTTGTGACCTTCCGACAAGCAAAGTCCATGGGGAAGCCAGTTTCACTTAACAACCGGGTTACTAACTTACCAACTGCAGGGATCCACTTATCCAAGGCAAAAAAAGAGAGTAAGATGGGGACAAAACTCACTTCAAGAACTGTCTCGCTTAGCGATAGAAATTTTGGGCTCCATTGTGGTCGTAAGTTGAGGACTACCTGCATTTACTCCAGGCTGCCACAAAAGACTCCTTCCTGAAATGCGTGCAGAGCTCATCCAGCTGAGGGAGGTTTCACACTTGCCTGGCCTGGCTGGGGGAAGACAGAGGACGGGAGCACATCTGGAGCAGGGACAGAACCAGAACGGTGAGTGGGTGGGTGAAAAAAGTCAAGAGGGTGACCACAACTGGGCCCTTCATTTTCTAGATCGGGGGTAGTCAACCTTGGCTCTTTTATGACTCGTGGACTTCAACTCCCAGAATTCCTGAGCCAGCATAGGTTGACTACCCCTGTTCTAGATGCATCATCTTGCATATCTTGAAAAGACAACGTGTGGCTCGGGGCCAGATAGAACAGGGTCAGGTGCTACCATGGCCTCTTGCTATTTTTGCACTCTTTAGTTGCTAGTTGGCCTCCCCTGCAAGGCTCCTGGTGAGACTTAATTCCAGCAGAATTATTGAAGAGGATTGTGGATTATGGGCACGGAAATCGACTAACCTGCTTACTCAGATGGGCTCTTCACTTCAGGGCCCCTCAGGCTGCAATGCAGCTCTCCCTCTTCCATGAGATTTAGGCATTGGCTGAGAACCGTATTCAACCCCACTTAGGCATTTTATAGAATTTGAGATTATATTGTGACCCCAAATGGCAGAACATCAGGAAAAACGTGCCAAGCAGCTTGACGGTGGCTCAAGACCCCAAAGAGATGCTCCTTCCTTGGAGCATCCTTCAAGCAGAGGCTTCCCTGGGGGGGGGGGACTTTGATTCAGATCCCTATCCTGAACCAGGGGTTAGACCTGGAGGCAAAAGGCTTCTTCTGCTCCTGGATTCTAGGCTTTGAAGATCTGTCACAAACACCAAAGGCAACGCCATTTTTTCCATGGTGGTTTTTCTCTCCCCCGAAGGCCACAGAGTGCTCTCCAGTCTGCCCCTTCAGATGCTGCTCTATTTCAACGTCTTCTTCCTCCCCTTCTGGGGCCTGTCGGAGGCGATTATGCTGGAGCTGAAGGTAAAGTGCCCCTGGATGGTGTTCTGATCCAGAACTAAGATGCTTTGCGATTCCAGATCATACAGATAACTCAAACAAAGATGATTGTAAAACAGATGTTTAATTCAGGAATACTGCTGAACTCACGATTTCTTGGTAGTTTCTTCTGAATATTGTACATCTGTCCATCTTTATTAGGTAAGAAATCAATAATTCCTCCATACCAACTTCTAGCGTGGAATGGGACCATCTGAGTCCTGCGGTGGTCCCATGCTTATCTCTAGACAAAGAACATTCCAAACTGGCACATAGCCAGGATATCCTGTGATGAACTTCGTAGCTCCTCCTACTGATCTGTTAACATGGGATTTACTGAATAGCTAAAACTACATTACCCATAAGCCATCTCTTAAGGAGACAGCGCTTAACCCAATAAATGCCAAACATTCTTAACATACAGATCTATCTAACTGATGGCTCCAGAACAGATGGGCTGCCCAGGGTAACCACCCTCTCCTGCTTGGGATGGTGGAAAGGTGGTTTTCCAATCCATAGTGCGACTGGCACCTGCAAACAGGGTGGAAGCCAGGGGTCTTCAAACTTGGCAACTTTTAAGACTTGTGGACTTCAACTCCCAGAATTCCTCAGCCAGCCCTGGTGACATCTCAAGCAGGGCTTCCCATGCTTCCCTTATGCTGGACAAGACTCTGAAGAAGGACAGGAGTAGCGTAGGAGGAGGAGCCCATTGGCAGACACCCCCATCTCTTTTTATGCCCCTGCAGTTTAGCTTGCTACCCCTCTATTACCAGTGCTTGCTGGTTGGTGCGTACCTGACAATTGTCGGAGTGGAATCTGCCCGCCTCTTCCTTGGATACGTTGGGAATTTGCAAGAAAAGGTAAGAAATGACAGGAGAACCAGCTGCTGGGCTTAGCTTTCTTTTTTAAAAAACAAGATGCTCATGGCTGATACGAACCATACATTTTCTCATGAGATGTTATGGATCCTGGGGGCAGGGATGGGGGGGAGGAAGGCAAAAGGCAAGATGGTGCCCACAACCATGCCTTCCTCTATGGCAGAGGTCCCCAACTTTTGGGGCACCAGGAACCGGTTCTGTAGAGAAAGGTTTTTCCGCGGACTGGAGAGTGCCTGGTTTTGTGTGTTGCCTGCATCCCGCGGATGGGGCTTTGCTTGTTTGTGCAGACCGGTTGCTGGCATGCTGCAGCCCGGTACCGGTCCACGGACCGAGGGCTGGGAACCCCTGATCTGTGGCACATAAAATAGAGCATCTTTTTGACCAGTTCCAGAGCAGATAAAAGGAAACGGAAGGGACACCCAGCATTGCGGGAAAGCAGCAAAGAGCGTCGAGGCCTTCGTTGCTAAGGGGAGCAGAGAAAGTGCCCCTCCCTCAACATAATGGCTCTCCTCCTTCTGCAGGCTAATGAAAGACAAGGAGGGAGTGCGGATATTTCTGTTAGGGTTTTGACTCATTTATACTTGTTGAAACTGATGCCACCTTCCACAGCGGACGTTTCCTGCAATTCCAATTTGCTGTTTTGAGATCAACTTTGCTCTCCGTGGAAAGAGCAGGTGCTTCTTGATTGTGACTTTCTGGCTGGCTCACTGTAGGAGAGCTCGCAAGCCTTGAATGCCGAGGTGGAAGGCGCTGCTCTATTCATTCAGTTGTAGAAGGATTTAGACATTATTGCTAAACATCTTCCACTGAAATCAAAGAGTCGGGGGTACCTGCAGCTGCAGCCCTGAAAGAGAAGTGGCTGCAGGGCTGTCATATGGGGCAGCTGCACAGGCCAAAAAGGGACGGAGCTTCAATGTTGTCCGGGCAAGGCTGGCACCTGACCTTTTTTTGACCCTCTCTGTGGATACACCTGAGCAGGTGCAAATACCTGGTGAGTTTTCAAAATATGTTCCGTTAATCTGAAATATTGAGGCAGAGAAGAACATTAAGAGGCGCAGAGCTGGTTTCCAAGGTGCCCAGAGACTTCTGCGATTCGGTTGACATTCAGGATGAATTTACGGGCCAGGTGAGTCTCCGAAAGGTAAGCACTGCATGGAACCATCCCCCCTCCCCATTGGCTCCCACAGGTTCCGGAGCTGGCTGGATTCCTCCTCCTGTCTGTCGTAATCGAGATGCCTGTCTTGCTCTTCATCCTGACGGACCATCAGGTGATCCGGATGCCTCTGGAAATGGCAGTGCACGGCGTCCTCCTCTGCTTCCTTACCTCGGAGATCGTGGCCGCCTCCTTTGCCCTCAAAGGGATAGCCAGGCACCTGGCCAGGCAGTTCTACCTGATGCAGTTTGAAGGGCGGCCGGGCAGAGTTCGGCACCAGGAGCTCTGTGGGGGAACCCACCAGCCCTGAGCCTGCCCCAGTTTCAGTGCAGCAGCACTAACCATCCACTTCCTGCAGTATAAATGAAGATTAATTTGAATAATTCCATAAACTAACATTAAGTTAACCATGGATAAGCATGATGTAGGCTTACAATTTTTCGTAGTTTGGCCCACATTTCACAAACATATTGATCTTCTCATCCTTCTCCTGTGATATAATTAGCAATTTATTCTATTCGTGCAAAGAGACCTGTGACAATTTTCCTGCTTGTCCTCTTAGGGTCAATTTCTCCTGTTTAGCTATGGCCTGATCTGATGACCTGTGTGGAGGTTATATTTTAGGAAGAACTAGAGAACTGGAAGCAAACAAGGACATCAGAGTCCAGGCATCCAGGTTAAAGAGCCATGACTCCTTGAACACAACCAGGGAAGTGGAGCCTGCCATTTATTTATATTTATTAAATTTATTTGCCGTTCATCTCACCACAAGATGGTCACCACGAATTTTCATTCCTAAGCAAGCTTCTATCTCTGCTTCCCCAACCTGGTGTCATGAGTCTCAGTGTGTCCATGGACATCTCCCTTGGTGGCCTCCATGTTTGTTGAGAAAAACACCTCTGGCCCACAAAGTCATCTTAGGAAAGAACATGATAAATGCTAGGAAATCTGCAGGCCAGGATCAAAAAGACAAGAGGGTGGTCTGTGCTTTTTTTTACATGCAAAAAGGAGTGGAGGTTTGGACAGTCATTATCATCATCTTAACTTTCTTGACACACCCCTCCCTTTGCAGCCATCCCTGATGTGTGCTCACCTGCAAACAAACCTATCTGGCAGTGATCAGAGAAATCCTGAAAGGTGCAACTTTAGTTTGCTTTTATGAATTATCTGTGGTCACAGGACATTTGAGTCCCCTAATAAGCAAGATTGATTTTGAAGTAGTATGCTGCATTACGCCAGTAAATATGACAATGTATTACAGATGGGCTGAGTCTGCGGAACACACTAAACCCTAAATCTGGATGAACAAACCCTAACTGGTGTGTTCACACATATGACGTGCAAATAAAAACCTCTTCTGATTGAATAGGATGGCCACCACTGCAGGAGTGACTGAATCCAGATCACATGACGGCAGAGCCCTCTTCTTGGTAGCATAAATACACTTTCGGCTAAATCATACTTGTGAATGGATCTTCTTACCTGGGGGATTATCTGTATCAGGTACAGATAGTCCTCGAGTTACGAGTGCAATGGAGCCTGCCATTCCACTCGTAACTCCAAAACCCGTGGGAGTGAATCTCGTACCTCCGAGATCACTCCCTTGCTCGTTAAGATGCACGCGGCTCGTTAAGTGAACATGAGGTATCTCAGGATGCGGAAGGCCCCCAGGGCCTCCCCGACCCACTAAGATACCTTATGCTTCCTCCTCCCTTCCTGCCACGCCGGTCTCACCTTGAAAAGACCCTTCTCTGCCACGGTTCCTGTTGCCACCTGGATCTGAGGCCGGGGGACGTTTCTGGGTGGCAGCGGCCTGGAAAAGGCCTCCGGACGCACTTGGAAGCGTCCCTGGCTTCGGTTCCGTTCTCTGTTGCAGAGAACAGAGGCCTAAAGTACCATGAGATTACGCGAGATCAGTAGCATGAGATCTCGCCCCACTGATCTTGCCTGATCTTGCGTTAATTTAGGCCTCCGTTCTCTGCGAACGCACGGAAGGCCTGGAGCAGCCAAGATAGTGAAGGATCTCGATCTTCGCAGGATGAGTATTGATGGCCTAGTGCGTAGGGAGACCCGGGCGTGGGTGGGGAGGGAATAAGCAGGGTGAATGTTGCAGAGCCTCTGTGGTCATTCATAAGGATGAACGACTGCTGTGATGCTGCAATATTCATAATCTCGGGACTTGCTTGTAAGCGCTAGGAGCACTTATTGCATAACTTCGAACGAGCGTTAAGTGGACACTCGTAACTCAGGGATTGCCTGTACTAGATCTGGATTGCAAAATGTGATCCACCACCAGATGGCAGCAATATTCTCTGCTACCATCTAGTGATCATTCACATTTTGGCAACCCAGACTGGGTAGCTCTACATCAGAATTCACCAACCTTTTGGGGTTGGCCGCCCAGAGCAGGGGGCGGGGAGGGGAGAAGAAGGCATAGTTTTATGGGGTGTGTGTGAATGCATGTGGGGTTGTGAGCACTTGCACACGTGGGGCTACAAATGCCATTTGTGGCAATGCTCATGCGAAACGCCCAGGATGCTCGTGCTGATGCTCATGCAAGCGGGGCTGTGAACACTGGCAGCGTCGCACGTGTGAGTGGGGCTGTGCACACACGTGCACCAGCCAGCCACTTACATGATCCGGTGGCCAATAGCCCACAGCCTGGTAGTGGACTGTCCCACAGGTTGGGGTCCCCTGCTCTACGTAACATGCCAAAGTGCAGACCCTCCCTCCATTTTTGTGTTGTTTTCTAGTTTAGCATGCTGTCAGAACTCAGTAGTAGCGCAGGATTATGTTACAAGAGCTATCAGTGTCCTGATCTAACATCTCCAGCTCTTTGTCAGTGTTTTTGCACGGCTGTTTAGAGTCAGAATCAGAACAGAGCTGGAAGATCTGGAGATCTTCTAGTTCAACCCCCTCTCAAGCAGGAGACCTATACCATTTCAGACAAGCTGCTGTCCAGTCTCTTCTTAAAGACTTCCAGGGATGGAGGCAAGCTATTCCACTGATTAACTGTTCTTGGTGTGTCAGGAAGTTTCTCCTTAGTTCCAGGTTGCTTCTCTCCTTGATTAGTTGCTTCTTTTCCTGCCTTCTAGTGCTTTGGAGAATAGTTTGACCCCTCTTCTTTGTGGAGCCCCTCAAATATTGGAACCCTGCTATCATGCCCCCCCTTTTCCTTCTTTTCTCTAGACTGGCTAAATCCAAGTCCTGCAGCCATTCTTCGTATGTTTTAGTCTCCAGGCCTTGGATCATCTTAGTTGCTCTTCTTTGCACTTCCCCCCCAAAGTGTCAGCTAATGAAGCTATTGATAAAATAATACGGTTTCTCCTGCACAATTGAAAAGTCAGGTTTTTGGGGGGTTTTTTTGAAGCAAGGAGCAGCTTGCTTATCAGGCGGCTTCATGCAGGGCTGGAGAGTCTGCGGGCCGGTGATAAAGTCCAGAGGGCGAGACGAAGCTCAGCCCCTTTGGCCGGGGGCGGCGGCGGTCACCGGGGACAAGGTCACCCGGGGCTTCCACCCCAGGAAAGGCCACCCAGCCCGGGCTCTCCGGGCGCCGCCGCGCAGGATTCTTGTGGCCCCTTCAGTCTGTCTGGAAGGACGCCGGGCCCGCTTGCGCCTGGAAGCGGCGGCTGCAGCAGCAGCAGCAGCAGCAGAGGGGACGGGGCATCGAGGCCCAGCGAGGTTTCAGCTTCGCGCCCGTTCCTCCTCGGAGCTCGCAATGTCTGCCCGGGAGACCGCGCGAAAAAGCATCCCTTCGATCCGGGCTGACGGGGCTCCGCGAGGCCGCTGCTTGCCCGGTTTGCGGCCAGAAGGATACTACCTCAGCTCGAGGCCTAGGCGAGGCAGCAGAGGCCCCGCCAGATGGGTTGCCAGGCAACGCGAGCGGGAGGTCGCTAGGTGCCGGCTCTCCTCCCTCCTCCAATGGCCACGCGCGCTTTCCGGATGCGCCCGCCCCTTCCGCCAGCCGGCCGCCTCCGTCCCCTGCGCGGCGACGCCGTTGCCATGGCAGCAGGGCCGGCCGAGCCCAGCCGCGCCGATGCCCGGGCCGCCGCTCTCGCCGGTGCCCGAGCAGGAGGCCGACGCGGCGGGGGAGCGGCCCTCCGGCAGCGCGTCCTCCGCGTCCCTCGCTCCCAGCGCCTCCGGCTCGCGGAACTCAGAGGCAAGGAGGAAAGCGCCGCCTCCCGCGGCCCCTGCCGGACCCCAGCTCCCATTGCTCCCGAGGCTGGGCGTCATGGGAGTTGGAGTCCAGCGGGGACAAACTGACGGGACGTCCCGAGTCAGGCTGATCAAAAAAGGGAAGGAAGGGCCTTCCTTCCTGGTAGACCTCGGCAGCGCGCCGGCTGCGGATGAGGGCGGTTGTAGTCCAGCACGGCTGGAAGGCTGTGAGGAGCAGTGCCGGCTGGGGATGAGGGCAGTTGTAGTCCAATACATCTGAAAGACGGTGGGGAGCTTTTGGCTGGGGATGATGGCAGTTGTAGTCCAATACATCTGAAAGATGATGGGGAGCTTTTGGCTGGGGATGAGGGCAGTTGTAGTCCAATACATCTGAAAGACGATGGGGAGCTTTTGGCTGGGGATGATGGCAGTTGTAGTCCAATACATCTGAAAGACGGTGGGGAGCTTTGGCGAGCAGGGGTGGCTGGGGATGATGGCAGTTGCAGTCCAAAAGAGAGATTGCTGCTCATTCTTATTTATACAGGTAGTCCTCAACTTACGACCAAAACCGAGCCCCAAATTTATGTTGTTAAGTGAGTTTTGCCCCGTTTTACGACCTTTCCGTCCAATTTGTCAGGCGAATCGCTGCAGTTATGAAATTAATAACAGGGTTGTTAAGTGAATCTGGCTTTCCCATTGACTTGGCTTGTCAGATGGTCGCAAAAGGGGAATTGTGTGACCCCGGGACGCTGCGACCGTTGTAAGTATGAACCGGCTGTCAGGCCTCCGAATGTAAATCGCGGGAGGATCCCGAAACGGCCGTAAGTGTGAAAAATGGTCATAACTCACTTTTTTTTCCCAGTGCTGTTGCAACTTTGAATGGTCACTAAAGGAATTGTTGGAAGTTGAGGACTGCCTGTGTTGTCATTCATATTTGAGGTTGGGATGACATCGCATCAATGGGAAATACACCCCAAAGGGCTGCTATTATGTTGGGGGGGGGAGAGAAATAGGAATTTGCTGAATGCCGGATGGTCCAATGCGGAGTCCCAGGCCGGGGGGGGGGGGGCTGGTGCCCCCCAGGTGGAAGGTGAGCGCAAGGTTTCCAATCTAATTCGTGCAAATCCGTACATAGCAAAATAAATGTTTTGCAATAACGGTGGTTTAGCCTCCACTTTTAATGACGGTTTCTCTTGACTAAACAAGAACCAGGCTACCGATAGAGGAGAATATTTAATAATAATAATAATAAAGTTGGAAGGGACCTTGGAGGTCATCTAGTCCAACTCCCTGCTCAGGCAGGAGACCCTATACCATTTCAGACAAATGGCTGTCCAGTCTCTTCTTAAAAACTTCCAGTGTTGGAGCATTCACCGCTTCTGGAGGCAGGTGGTTCCACTGATTTGTAGCTCAGGGTTGAGAGAAGGGATTCTTGGGGGGCTCTGAGCTGGGTCCCTCAAAATAAGGCTAAGAATAAGCTCTCAGCGATTGGAACCTGGCTTGTTCCTGGCTCCAAAAAGCAGGGCGACGCGCATGGAATTACATGGATAGTCGAATGAAATGGAATGAAAAACTCTGGGGTCGATCAGGATGATGGTGATCAAGAATTCCTGCATTGAAATGGCTGAATTAAAAAGAATAAATGAGTTATAATAATAGGTAACCGTCCGTAGCTCAGGAGATGCATGGCAGGAAGCTACAAATAGAGGCAACTGGGTTTGCTAAATAGGTTTCTTTCTAAATATGCTTTTGAAATGTACTGGGCAAGCCATGATATTGTAGCAACTTCTGCTTTTTATCTATTTTCATGCAAACGGCTGTTTTCTTGCTTATGTAACCCTATAAACCACATGAATTCTAAAACCATGTTCCAGCTTTATAGGAGGACACACTTTTATCCAGTTCTAAAGAAACATAACTCAGGGAGAGTGCAATTTTGCCTCTTTGTTTGTGCCGGGCCAAACCTACGGTACATTTTCTGCTTCACATTGGTGCAAATTTCTTAGCTTAGTGTCTATTTTGGTGTTTTGCTTTTGTAGGGAGGTGAAAGCATGCTTCAGAAAGTTACGTTGCAAAGTTTAATTTCTGGACCGTTTACCACTTCCTGATATAAAGGTAGTTAAAGTGACATTATTATAAAATGAGCTCCTCCTTAATCATATTATCAGTTGAGACGGGGTAAACCCTTGAATATTTCCAATGTATTCGGTATATCTGTCAGAATATTGAGAGTCTATTATTTATTTTACGTCCTGTATTTTTCCCAGCCTGCTTGATAGAAATCCATATGTCTTATTCAGGTTTCTAAGGGTTCTGCTTTTTCTGATTGATTGCTGTTCCTAGTTTGGGGGGAAAAAAATCTTGTTTGTTAGCTGGACCTCTGTATCGTTGCTTCTTTTGGATAGAGTTAGGTATGTTCCTATGTTTCCGTATCTTGACATGATTTTATATCAGACTTTTTCAAGGTCCTCTGATATATCAGAACCCATCTGCCGGGAGAACAGCGCTTCCTTCTTGGAGAAAGCTCTAAGCTATTCTGAAGAAGAAACCGAGGAAGAAGAAGAAGAAGAAGATCAAGAGGAAGAGTGGGACACAGACCTTGAAATAGAAAGTATGGATTAGACAAGTTGCCAAGTTGCTTACAATTGCCAAGGTTGAGAAACATTGAACTAGACCAGGGGTAGGCAACCTTGGCTCTTTTATGACTCGTGGACTTCAACTCCCAGAATTCCTGAGCCAGCATGGCTCAGCTTGGAAATGTGTCCCTTTCCTCTCAGCATGGCTGGCTCAGGAATTCTGGGAGTTGAAGTCCACGAGTCATAAAAGAGCCAAGGTTGCCTATCCCTGAACTAGACCCAGAGAGACCCAAGAGTCTTCAGTTCATCTTTAACTTT